AGCGAATGTCGACCACGTGATAGTCGGAGTTGTGCTCCTTGCATATCACCTTCGCCATCCCACTCTCTAGAACTCAAGACGACATGCTGAGAGAAGTACCTGGACCTAGTCAAGGACTCCTGTTGTTTCAGTATTTCCGGACCGTGACGGCAGTGACAGGCCAAGGACATGGACGGGATATGGATCAATAAGCCTGACATAAGACTGACAGCTGTGCAGTGCGTGCATCTGCCCTGAAGACTTGCCGATTCGCAGCTTGTGAAATCAAACCATGCAGCTTGGCTGGCCTTTCCATCGGGCTGAAAACAAAGCTCCGTGACAGATGCATTTTTCAACCTGAGCAACATGTGGTCTGGCTGGCCACTGCTGAAAATTTGCTCGGCAGTCTGTTTTGATTTTCGCAAGTCACGCAGGCTGTCGAGGCCTTCCGCGTCGTAGGCGCACGAGACTAGCCTGCCTCTAAAACTCTAAGGAGGTGTGAACAAGCTGAAATGGCATGCTGTGTGGCAATCCCGCCCGGGCTTCCCCCAGCTGCTGAAGACACTTTCCCACAGCACACGAACTCGAACACCTTGGAAGACCAGCCACTCCAAGTCTCCAGCTCGTGGGGAACTTACCTTCCATCCTTTTGATCGTTTCCGAGGGCGGACGAGCAACTGTCTCTGCAGACAGGTTCACGCCAGTCTAGACAACCAACAATCCCCTTGCATGGTTGCTGTCTCGAGACTTCTTGGTACAAGTACCGGCTGTTATGTGTCCAAACTCTTCACTTTGCAGCAATGCCGGCCGGTGGCAACAGGCGAGGGAAGTCTGTTGGTCTCCCTTCTTCCCTTGTAAAGAGTACAGGGAAGGAGGGAAGGATCCTGTCGCTCTGTCTCTATTTATGCCCGAACTGAAATCGCACAAGCTATCCTATGCCATCGACTGCAGACGTAACATATGCACGACGCTGCGCCTGAGGCTGCCAAGGTGCTTGTACTTGGGATCTCCGTAGGTCCAGCCATTGGATGTGCCATGGAGTAGCAGCTGCAGCAACAAATCACCAAGAGTCTGATGCAAAACCATGATCCTTAACAGCGAAGCGCTGAGTGAGAAGCAACAGCAACTGGACCAGAAGATCTGAAGCTTCCTGTTTTATTGTACCGTATTCTGTATACGTCTTACAGGTCCGACTCTTCTGTAGGCGTCCCAGACTCACCACGGGGCTGCTGGTACTGCAACTCATGGCTTCCTTCAGCTTTGGTCGAAGAAACTCGACAATTCCTGGGAAGCGGCATGTGTGATTCCAACCAAATTCTAATGCTAAAGCAGACGCCCGAGAGGGGAACTCAACGCGATGCAAGTTATCATGTCAGAGATGGCAAACCCTGTCTTGCTGAACGGGCCCGTTCTTGATAGTGACTGGAGTATATAGCACAAAGCATAGCAGCCAAAGGCGTCTGTGAAAGCCCTGATAAGCACGATCGTGCGGAAGTACGGGGTGCTGTCGGACAACATTCCCGGCCAAAGCACCAAACACAGCAACGCGCGAAAAGCATGTCTGCACGCAAACGCAACACACACACACACACACACACACGCGCGCACGTGCAGATATGCACACCGAAGACTGTGGACTGCATGTAATATATAAGCCTATATTTCTTAGATTCAGCACCAGTAACGAACACACTGCAACAATGCTGGCAGTAGCAATTACAGCATTACAGCATTGCAAAGTACGCTGCTGCACGGTAGTGCACCATACCATAGGAGGCAACAACATCATGCAGCACAATGCACTTGAATAAAAACACGTAACAAGGGGGAGCCACATTGAGAGTCCATAAGGATTTGCAGCAAAGTGCAGCATAACAGTCCCGAAATACATCCCATAGACTTACAGCACAATGTACAGCACTACAATGTAGAAGGCCGTGCCGCAGTAATATCGTCACACAGTTCAACGGAATGTAGCGCAGTCGCTGGCGAGAGCTGCGGCGTTGTGATGTAGTAAGGCTATGTAAGGCTCTGGCAAGGCACGACGGCGCTGCAACAGCACAAGAACTTCGGAATTGCAAAATTACGAACCTTCTCCCCAGACGTGTCTAGGATTTAGTACGTTTTATGGAAGTTTGCAAGCTTTAGAGTTGTGGACTTCTTTGCATTCGCAACATATGTCCCGAAACCGTCTTTTGTACTGAGGGGTCGCTGTCAGCTCCTGCAAATTTCTTTTGAGATTTTGTCTTTTAACATGAGACTTTCTGGGAACTCCGTCATTTTTGAATACTCGTATGGTGCTTAAGTCGTGCTCGAGCTGCTTAACCAATGTATATCAAATGCAAAACCTAATATTAATATTGACTAACATTTGCTAACTGTAGCTGTTAATCTTTACAAAAGCTATGTAGCTGACTCTTGAATATCATAGTCGAACGGCAGACTGTACTAAAGTAGATTCGATACCTACTTGATTGAACAATTGAACATTCGAAAGTCTAGCCAGTGGCTAAACGGAAGGAAGAATCAAACGCATTCGCCGAATAAATGTCTAGCACTTGATTTTCGCCGACAGAGTGTCCAACATCTCATGTTCATTTATCCAAAATCTTGCAATTATGAGTCTCTGACCTTTGCACACAAGCATATGCTACAGCAGCCACTATGCAATGGGTGTTCAAGTATTGCGGGCAGATATGTAACACATAGTGAACCGAATCTACAGAGTCTTACTCATGATGTAGTGTAGCCTTCATAGCCAAATCAAAGCCAGGAAACAAATAAATGATTTTTCTTTAGCACTCACGCTCGAGAAGCTCGGGCGAGGTTTGGGACGCTTGTTGAATGATTCTTTCTGTACACGTTTGTCGTCAACTGTGAATCTACTATTGGGCTGGCATATGCCTATGGCGTGCGATTTACATAACTTTGTGTGTTTCGCGACTACACACTATCATCTCATAGCTAAGCATTTTATACATATTCGTTCACCATTTTCCCTGTCCACCATTTGATGTTGAGGGTTGACACCTGACTATGTCATTCCCTTTCCAGTAGAATCGAGAAGCTCTCCAAAACTATGCTCACCTAACATGTGACGTTAACACAAAACTTAAACAACAGTTCATCACCATAAACTTCAGATCTACCTGCCAAGAAAAGATTGCTCATTCAGGTTCGATCACGAGAAAATCTTGACACGCTAGAGAGCAGTCTCACGCTTTTTGCAACTCTCTCACTATTTCAGTGATGGTTGGCAAAATGATCTAAGTCATCTCTAATGCATAATGCGATATTATGTACCCCATATGCGTCACGTATTATTGAAGCTATTCATTGACAGAACATGTCTTGACTGAGTCATTAAACCTTCTTTGCGCAGGTTCATACAGCATGTTTAATCTTCATGAACAAAATAAGCCGTAAGTACTATCTATGAATGAATTAGGACTTTGATTCTGTAAGGTTTTAATCCCACTTGTATTGCTGCAACGACTCGGCTTGACTAGCTAGTCCAGTACACAGTGAGTATTAACGTATTACGTAGATGTCTATGAATATGTTCTCGTATGTCGCAGCCTTAAGTATGAGGCGAAAGGCTACGAAACATTCACAAACACTTTCCGAGGTTAGCTGCATGCTAACTCGAAAAAAGCCATAACAAGTGCATCGTAATTCCCCTTTGGAAATTAGACAACGAGTACCCGTAACTCAGACATTTTGTTAAGCCCCTCGCACGCGACAAGGTCAGAACATGCGACACATAAGTATGAGATGAAGTCATTGTTGACATGCTCAACGGCTACTAACCTATCGATGGCAACGAGACCTCGAACAAGCTCTGACGACATGTCGACGCAGTTCATCTGAGCGGCGCCAGGCTCTTGCAATGCCTTAGATGAAAAGTTTGTCATCGTTGTGATCATCGCCTGCAGTTGCTATCATTACAACTACTTACTACCAACTATAGCTTCCACTACTGCTACCTTCTACTGGTGCTGGTGCTCCTCCTGCTGCTGCCTCTGCTAAGGCTACTGCTACGGCGGCGGCTACGGGTACGGCTACTTCTACTGCTGCTCCTACTGCTTTAATCCTCGTCCTCCTGCTACTGCCACTACTACTACTACTACTACTACTACTACTACTACTACTACTACGACTACTACGACGACTACCACGACGACTACGACGACTACCACTGCTACTACTACTACTACTACTACTACTACTACTACTACTACTACTACTACTACTACTACTACTACTACTACCACCTCTCCTACTACTACTGCTGCGGCTGCTGCTACTACTGCTGCTACTGCTGCAGTAGCAGTAGCAGTAGGAGTAGCAGTAGCAGTAACAGTAGCAGTGGTAGCAGTAGCATTAGCAGTAGTAGAAGTAGTAGTAGTCGTCGTCGTCGTCGTGGTAGTAGTAGTACCCATTTTTGGCAAAAGCAGCACAACCTCCACGTCTGTTCCCTCCTTCGACATTCAAGCTGAGTCGAACATAGCAAGGCCCTGTGAGCAGCTTGGGTGCACTCCTCCGACGTCTCCTTGTCATTGCTACCACTGTAGTCCCAGAGGCTCCGGGAATTAAAGCCTAGGTCGCGGCGACTGCTGTACCAACCGACCGGACTTTGGGATGCACACTTCATCTATGGAGGATCTGGGCTGCGGTACCAGTCGGGACGATGCCATGCTTCATGTTATAGCCTTGCGGTAGAAGAAAAACCGTGATAGGAGTCGAGCATCGGCCCAAGGACAAGGCAATGCTGTCTTATCATGCGGGCTTGGGCTTGGGTGGGGCTACATAGTTTATTGTTTTCCATGCCAGGTGCAGAAACGGGCTCTGGCAAACACGTGTGCTTTTGGTCCGCTCGCAGGCCCCTCTGCTCCAAGTGTTTTGCACAAGAGCAGCATGCGACCTCGAATTTGAGGACGACAACTTTCACTGCTCCGGAGCGCAAGAGCTTCAGCTTCCAGCACAGAAAGATTGATGCTATATGCATCAGCACACGGACTTCACAGCCACAGGACTGCCTTCAACTCCAACATGTTGTGGTCAGACTGCATCATTGCACGGAGAGAATCTCCTGCATGGCAACAAGCTACCCAGAGCCTGTGGATGCAGTACTGGTTCTGTTGAACCCCGTGATGGCTGACCAAATGCACATTGCTCTGACGTGAAGCACATGTCGCATGTCCCGACGACATTGTGAAGAGCATGTGTCATGCAACTGCAAGACCAGGAAGGGCCTAGAACGCTCCAGGCCGTGCCCATGCTGATCTTGTGGATACCTTTGCTCCAGAATATCTGGTCGCAGTACGACGGCAGCCGTGTGACCTCACTGATGAGCTTCAAAAACGAGGCTACATGTGTCAACACAAGGAGGTGCACAAACCAATGCCAACTCTCCCTGTCGGACTTTGGCTCCAGGTGCACACGGAGACGTGTAGATTCTCGCCAGCTCCCGAGCAAGAGCGAGACATGTTTACGAGGCCGTCCGTGCCTGGCTTTCGGTTTAAAACTACGGCAGGAGCTGTTGCTAACTGCAGTCTGGAAGCCAGGCTTTCCTCTGGCGTGCCTTTCCAACTTTGCGCCTGCACGGGTTGCGACAAGTCGTCACCGGTCCCCTGCCCCAGAATAAGCCATGCTGCTTCCTTTCGAAGTGTCTGCTGGGCGGCTCCCGTGTCGTCGTCGTTGTCGAGGCGGTAGCAGTACTGCAGTAGCAGCAGCAGTAGCAATAGCAGTCGTGTCGCCGTCGCCATAGTAGCCATAGTAGTAGTCGCAGTAGTCGTCGTCGTAGTCGCAGTCGTAGTCGCAGCCATAGCCGCGGTCGAAGGTGGTAGTAGTCGTCGCCGCAGTCGTAGTCGTGGATTAGTAGTAGCAGTAGTGGTGGTGGTGGTGGTGGAGGTGGTCGTGGTGGTGGTGGTGGACGTAGTAGTATGTAGCTGTAGTAGTATGTAGCTGTAGTAGTAGTAGTAGTCGTCGTGGTGGTGGTGGTGGTGGTGGTGGCGGCGGCGGCGTATGTAGTAGTATGTCGGTGAGGAGTAGTAGTAGTAGTAGTAGTAGTAGTAGTAGTAGTAGTAGTAGTAGTAGTAAGTACTAGTAGTAGTTTTTGTCACCCACCTGGCACACCTGTGGCAGCTCTGCGGGGACTAAAGAGAGCAAGTCACAACAGGGCTAACTCAAGGAAAACAGCGACACCAGAAGGTAAGGCCATGAAATACAGCTAGCCCTGTTGATCGGAAATGGCTACCTACAATCTTCTCTACTAAGCGCTGCGACTTAAAGTTGCCTGACACGCACATGCATATGTCAATTCGACAGACTAAACACTGTACTCAGATGTCATTAAAGCTCGACATGTCCCCAATTCGCATGCAACAGTTCTGGTCATGCTTTTGAAGTACAGCTCGAATTATCCAAAAGGCTACATCGCTCAACTCATCTACCTCCGGTCACTCACTGGCTATACACCTAGTAGTAGTAGTAGTAGTAGTAGTAGTAGTAGTAGTAGTAGTAGTAGTAGTAGTAGTAGCAGTAGTAGTAGTAGTAGTAGTAGTATTAGTCGTAGTGGTAGTGGTAGTGGTAGTAGGTAGTAGGTAGTAGGTAGTGGTAGTGGTAGTGATAGTGGTAGTGGTAGTGGTAGTGGCAGTGGCAGTGGCAGTGGTAGTGGTAGTGGTAGTGGTAGTGGTGGTGGTAGTGGTAGTGGTAGTGGTAGTGGTGGTGGTAGTGGTAGTGGTCGTGGTCGTGGTCGTGGTAGTGGTAGTGGTAGTGGCAGTGGCAGTGGCAGTGGCAGTGGCAGTGGTAGTGGTAGTGGCAGTGGTCGTGGTCGTGGTAGTGGTAGTGGTAGTGGTACCAGCAGCAGGTGTTGCTGTTGCTGTTGCTGTTGCTGTTGCTGTTGCTGCTGTTGTTGTTGTTGTTGTTGTGCATTGCGCGCCTTGCAGCGCTCCTCGGAAACCCCTAAGGCCTGGGAATTGCTTGGAAAGTGCCATCGGAAGTGTACAGATGGGAAAACCGTGTCCCTTGAGGCAGGTGGAGAAAAACCCACCGAGGAGAGGAAAGCCCGGGGGGCTATTCCGCCCCTCGCCCAGATGGGCAGACAAACAGGAACCCCTGTAGTAAAGGAGGAGGAAGAAGGAGTTTAAGTGGCAACAATCGAGGTAGTCGTAGAAGCAGTAGTGGCCGTCGTCGTGGAAGTAGTTGTAGTACTACTACTAATAAGTATAGTATATCGGTAGTAGAAAGTAGCAGCGGCAGCAACAGCAGCAGCGTCAGAAGCAGCAGTAGGAGCCGTAGTAGCAGCAGCGAGTGCTACAGCAGTAGCGATACTGGACGCACAGAACCTTCGACGCCTAGAGCAACCACGTCCGAAGGCCTTGGTCAGGTCGAAGCCCTCTTCCTTGAACAATTCCCACTTTCCACCTCTGCACTCACGGATCTCAGTGCGTCGGCAGAAAACTCGGGTGTTTAGATCTGGTTTGACAGTTTTGCTTCGTCCACACAGTCGGCACAACAAAATGGGGCAGAGTGAATCGGTGATCATGTATGTCACGACAGGTCCTCGGTAACCCCACATGCGTGGTGCTTTGCTGTGGCGTACGCACGACTATAACCACAATTCTCGAAACGACAAAAACCAGCCCCGCGGAGTCGAACAGTAAGGCGCTGCTAGGACTCAGTGGCTAGCGACTTACACCTCAAGGTACAAATGAGCACGAAGCGCAAGGCCCAAACACGCAGAGGTGTGGCGCGTGCAGTTCATCGATTCGGGAACGCCAAGGAACAACCGATAGATTCGATTTTAGCAGCAAATTCTGCCCCGGCGTGCCGGTGGTGCGGGAGTATGGAAAGAACGTGGTCTCGGTCGAAAAATGTGCTGCGGAATAACAGGAGCTGCTACAGGGTGTGCCTGCCGCAAAACCCTGTGATTACAGTACACCTTACATATAAGAACGCCATACAATAAACTGCTCAGGCGTGTTATCTATAACATGTACAAGTTGCACCTTCCTTTTATGAGAATAGCACACGCTCTCTTTGTGCTTAATTTGTTCCAATCCGCCATCCAACGACAGGAAGTCCGCTGAAGGCAACACTGCTTCGTTGGCATAGTTCTCGAGCACCACGGCGGGAATCTGGCAAGAGGCATCGATGCTTGTCCGTACCGGTCAGTCTTCAGCATCTGCTCTGCGGCCAGGAGGCCGTGGATAGAGGGGCACGAAGATGGCTTTCAAGAAAGCGGCACGTTGGCGCACGCTTCCTAAGCTGTCAGTCACGATCCACGTCCAGTGGTCCTGCCATCTCGGGATTTTCTGCAGCAGTTTGATTTCCCTGACTCGTAGCATCTCATCAGCCAGTCTGAAGGAGTGTACGTACTCCTACTTCCTCTAAGAGCGGAATGCTCGCCATATCATGAGCAAACGTGAACAAGTGCATGCTCAGAGGCCAGACGGTTGTGAAGTGCTGGTACAGCCAGTTCAAGCCCGGATTAAGAGACTGAAGCCACCTCCAAAGATCCAGCACAGCTCGTCTCAAGTAAACAGACAGCCAGTCAGGAGCCCACTGTGCCTCGATTAGATTTGCATCAAGTTCATGCAGGAGCAAGGGCTGGGCAAGGCAAGAACAGATTCGCGGACTCGCCTCATTTTGGAGATGTATTGTGGTTGCAAGGCCACGGCCGCCACTCGCATCTCCTTCCGACAAACTTGGATTACTGGGGAACTCTTGCACCTCTGCTGCTGGCCATGCGGCTTCCGGTACACACAATGCCCTAATGCCCTCATAGTCATGTTGAGCATGGCACCTCCCCAGCTGCAGAAATCGAGCTGATACTCTGGATTACCCTGTACGCCGGCCGACTGCAAAGCCGTGCCAGTGGAAGGCTCTGCTTCAGAGATCCTCGTAGGCAACACCAGGGCGCATTGGACTCCTGGTTACCCAGGCAGGCCGTACCGATCCGTTCACCAGGTGAAGGACCTTGCAGGAAGTAGAGCACGTCGACCAAACTGTCGTCTCAGCGATGCATGTTGTGGCGACCACAAACTGGACGAGGTGCAAAAACAACGCGAGGAATAATAACAAGCTAGACATCGGTAACGGTACACTTGTACGACTGACACTCAAGAGCACATAAATCAAGACATTGGTATTCCTGGCAGGAGCAAACGAAGGGCAAGGCCCACTGCACCAGGTCATGGCACCGGTCCCGTGTAGTCCAGCCCTGTGAAGTTTGAAAACTCCGCCAGGCTGTCAAACGGCACCATGCGGAAGTTCCAGTCTCCTCGACATGCAGATGACCCTCAAGAAAGATTTCGCAAGGCAACTTCCAATCCGTGCGAAAACTAAGAGTTTTCACCCGTCGAAATGAGCTGCTGTCCACCGTCTCGCTGCCTTGTTCTGTTGGGTGAACTATACCAACAAAGATAAGACTCCAGTCATGAACGCGGGGACTGTGTAGTTGTCGCTAACAACCTTGAGAGCATCCATTGCTTGCCCCAGCTCCTGCACAAACCGCGAAGCAAGAAGTCGAGGAGAGCAACGGAAGAGCAACATTCTTCAGGTAATTGGCAGGTCAGTCGGGTTTACTTTTCCAAACACTCTGAAGTCGACATGGGCCATGACGGGCACTGCAGCTCATGACGCTCCAGGCCTGTGATCTCTCCGACATTCGAAACATGTCCTGCAACGACAGCATTGAAAACAGTGGACGAAGCGGTCTCTTGTGATCTCCTTTGCAGGGGCGGCGGGATGGGTCGGTCGGGCGGGTGCAGCTTGATGCCTTGGCATTCGGAATGGCTCCCAAGTGCGATGTGCTGACGATGAAGTCGATCTTGTGATTGGCCCCGCCATGAACATAGTGAACTCCTCAGTCTTCGAAGCGAAGCAATTCGTGCGCCAACAACTTCCCGGAGTTGCAAAGCTCCCCTTCATGCCAAGACGCTGTATCGTGTGATCAGGGTGGCCTTCGCCGCAACACCCAAGTAGTCCTCCTTGGGTGCTTGAACGGAGACTGTTTTCAGCAGGACCCATGTTGGCCTGGAGCTTGTGCAGGACCAAGTCGCGTGCTTCACGGCCACCTCAAGGAATCCATATCACTCAAATGCTTGGCCCTACCCAGTCTAAAACTTCAATAGCCCAATGGGCTTTGGAGTACTAAGGCTGGGTGTTGCTGAGGGGCGCTGATCCCGAGCTTGATGTGCAAGAATAGACAAGTGTTTCCCAAAATTGAATGTCCGCAGATTCTGATAGTGTTGCACAAGGCAGGACACTGGACTGGACACTGGATAGTAGCTGGACAGCATTCAGAGATTGTGTGGAGTGGGTGCCCGTGAAGATCCGCGATGCTGCCTTGATTAACGGTGCTCAACACCTAGAATCATTTTTCATGCCGTTAGCTTCTCTTCTAAATCTCGCACAGGCACGTCTCGCTGTAAGTTTGGCCTACGGGGGGTTTCTTGCCTGGACTGCAGCTGGCATGGTCAGGTGCGATGCTAGTCTCAGACCCTGGCCCCGTGGCATCTCTGTGCCGCCTTGATCCCGTCGATGTCCTGGGCAGGCAGGCTGGCAGGCAGGCCCTAAAGTGTGCACGTGTCTTCAGTGGCTGAGCGTGTGCATGCACCGCATGAGGTATTCGTCTTTGTGGCTGTCGTGTGCGACAATTAGTCTGCGACCCATCCGGTTCACCCCCTGTCCGGTTCAGCTCAGGTTGTGCAGGCAGTCCAGAATGTCCGCATCATCTTAGGCACGCGCCGGACGTAGCGCATCATCGTGAAGGACGCCTGGAAGTCTAACATGCAAATGAACGCCGGGCTTGCAGCTCGTATGTATACTCATGCGCACAAGCACTCTATTTTGGACTCTCAACCCTTGCATATGCCACCTCCCCAGTAGGTCTCAGGTAGTTCCTTGGACTCCTTCCCAGCCCCGCATCCCTCGGCGTACCTGGCTGGCAACTCTCAATGTGATCACGACAAACTCAAGAGCGATGTCCGGAAGGGTGCTGCAAGAGAGTTCGCACCGAAGCTTGCCAACACGGAGGAGGCACTTGTCGTCGACAGTGTCAGTGGACTCTAGCTGGCGGAGTTGTTTCTGCCTTGACATCAACCAAGTAGCTGGAAGCTCAAGTTAGCTCAGCAGATGATGCGGCCGCATAGGGGCCGGACGTGAAAACCAAGGTCCTGTCTTGTGTTGAAAAAGCAGGCAGTATCTGCAGGTGCTGTCGGTGCTGTCACCCATCTCCTGACTCCCCGAATGTCGCCATCCACAGGCATCTTGGCAGCGGTGTAGTAAACGTGGGGAGCGTAAGCAAACATCAGATATGGGGTCAACAACACAACTCTATGACCGCAAGCCTCTCACATGATATCAGCCTTTCATGAGCACCATGTGGTTTCCTTCAGAACCGCGTTCCGACTATACGACTACGCTAACCTCGCACGCAGCTTCGGCTCCTTCGCAACATCGGAATCAGGACTTGCGATGACTTGGGTAGTTTCTCTGTCCGTTACTCCTACGCATAGCTGCCAGGCTGTCATGCGCAGTCCACGGAGCTTTTGTTAGAAAGCACGTTATTTCTTGCGCAAAGCCAGATTGACCAAGAAACCTGTCGCTTTGTTCTATAGTCGGCAATGTACAGGTAGGAGAAGAGGGCAAAGTCGCATGTTATCTGGATGGCATGGAGCCTCAGCTGCACGTCACATCATGCAGCTCACCATGGAACACCTCCATTGCTACAGGTCTCTCCGCGCATATATATATATATATATATATAGATAGATATATATATATATATATATATATGTATATTTCGATGTCCGAGATGCTGTTCGTTGCAAAGATGGCGCGTTCTGATGACCCTCCTGGGTTGGAGTGGAGGTTTGGGTAGGAGGCATGCTCAGTGTGTCAGCACGTAAAATTCGAAGTGCAGGCGCACTCATGGACGACAGGTCGAAAGCGGGTGCGGCTTTAGAGTGCTCTGTGTGCGCCATGTTGCAGCGAAGGCTAATAGGATTTCACAACGAAGCTGTGCGGCCACGATTCCATCCTGTGACCGGCCTGATGAAGAAGGTCTTCTCACTCGGAGCTTCCTGCAAATCGGATTTCCCTTCCTGATCTAGATGGACTGCGCTTAGCCCAAAGCCGACTAGACTGTCGGCGGAAGCAGAACCTGGAAGTTGACAGACACCAGCTTGATGCGCTGGTCGCGTGCTTTCGCCAGCACGTTGTCGACCATGTCTTCAAGACCCGCTCGGTTCCTCGGCCTGCCTGAGCGTTGACAGGAATCCGAAGCTGTAGTGCTTGTCTTTGTGTAAAGCCGTGTGCCTGTCCTAAATGCAAGTCGTGCAACCGAGGAGAATGAATGAGCGCTTCTGTTCATGCAGTCCACTGGTTCGGTGCAGGCCTCCTGGATTGATTGCTAGAGGCCTGAAGCATGTAGCAACTACAAAGAGACAGCTGCCTCACTCAGAGTCTCGCTGTGGCTGCTCTCGTTTTGTCGCAAGCACTGGGAGCTCACTGGCACGGCTTGGGGCAGTTTGAGGTGTCTTTCAGAGGTTCAGGAACAGGCTTCGCACGGATTTTCTTCTAGGCCCGATACAGACTCGGCATAGTAGTTGTGGAGTGCACAGCTTTGGTTGCAATGCATTCTCGCCCAAACCCGTCTGAAACAGAGCAAGTGGCATTCGTATCTTCATGGTTGCACTGGGAGTGCTGTTGATGGCATTCTAGCAGTGCTTGTTTCAACGCTTGAAGTGATTGTGTTGGCACGCCGCGACGGCTGGCCCTTTTTAAAAGGCTGCAGAGAATCAAGAGCTTGTTCGAGTACAAAGGTCGTCGTGCGTATTGCGCGCAGATCATCCAGAGCAGCGAGTGGTGCCTTGACATTGGTGCCATTGGCGTGAACAAAGGCCGGCCCCACGACATCACGGCTCCGAGTGCGAAAAGTTCTGTCACACCCAACCTGGACTCCTCTGACTGGGCGCGACGACGACCAACAGTACTCTTCGTGAGATTGCTGAATCGGTAATGCTAGTACATCACAAGTTGAACGGGTTGACAGGTCTGCAACACTGTAATTCTACAGCAAATTTGGCACGGATTTGCAGTGTCCAGTGTCCGTGCATGTCGCGCGCAGGCTAGGCATGTGCAAGTGCGCGTGGGTGCGAGTGAGCGAGTGAGTGAGTGAGTGAGTTAGTGTGTGTGTGTGTGCGTGTGTTTGTGTGTGTGTGTGTGCGTGCGTGCAAGTGTACACATGTAGTCAGGCGAAGGCGATGAATTTGTGGCCCCCAATCCACCCACCCCGTCGGCCCGCCCAAAAAAACGTATGTTTTGCTGCGAAGAATTCAAGCTCTACCTTCCCTCCGAGAAATTTGCGATCACGTCCGTCATTCAATGCTGACTAAACTCAAGCCCTGCTCCACTATGGTTTGGTTTCGTGACAACTGGTGAGTCGAAAGAAAGGCTGAACGACACTCTGGCTTGCTCGGATGTCGGATTGCCAAGGGACTGAGTTTTCCAAGATTCAATGTGTAGACCCAAATCTCGAGGCCCTTCTTGTATCCTGGGCAGCTCGGCACCAAGTGGAAACGATGTATGCGTCGGACCATTAGGAACACTACTTCGGAGACACAAGCAGGTCCGATCCCGTGAGAGTTACACCCCTCTGCTGCTGGAAAGTTTCTGTCTTCATCGTTTGAATCTGAATCTGTCCGCAGAGCCAGTGCTGTCCACCAAAGCAGCCATAATCCAGCAATCCGTCGGGACATGGCCGGTCCGGAATGTCAAAGTCAATCACAGGCCCCGAATTAGATCCTACTTGTGGTGCCACATCTTGGAACTGAAGGTCACACTCTAGGAGTACTGCGCCGCAAACATGGTACAAGCAGCATGCAAGGATATGTCTGACTGTTCCACAGCCCCTAGCCCGGACGCGAGCAAAAGATTTGGCAAGCCACGAGGTGCTCGAGCCAAATGTCGCAAGAAAGCTTCCGCCTGGCATGTCGCACAAGTAAAGCAGCATGACCAAACGCGACCAGGAAGAAACTCCCAAGCTTGCCCTGTGCCCCCCCTCCAACAATAGACTCAGCGTGACTGAGCGTGGAACCCATAAACTGGAAATTCGGAAACTGCTCTTCCTTGGATGCGATTCTGCACGTTCGCTGGCAATTATTTACCATATGCCTAGCTGCAATTCCTGATCGACAGAGGATTCAGAGGGCCACCATGCTTCCGACCCATAAGGAGTTGGTTCACGATGCCGCATTTTTCACAGCAGCTTGAACTTGATCATGGAACTCCACGCAGTACGTTGACTGACATGACATCATGGCAGCAGTGTCATGACGTACTTGGTAGCACGTGTTTCTGGACACCTGGCCGAGCTGCAATCTTCGCTGCTGGAGTGCCTCACAAACACATGTGAACTTGAACAGCGTGGTCACAAGATCTATGCACCAGTTCTGCGAGGCGCTCAATTGCATCAACATGCACGCACCATGACTGCAGAGTAGTTGGTGAGATCTGAGCTGCAGATTTCGAGGTAATTGGTTCTGAAGGCTCCAGACCACTGTGCAGCGCCCAGACGAGATGCCACGACAAACCCATGGGTGAAAGTGTGGTAGAAACACACTCTGAGCCAATCCTACCCCAGAAGGCCGAGGCTCCCTCAAAAGAGAGTCCTGCACAGCCGTGCTCGTAGCAAGCGCCTCTGCACTGGGGGCTGTAGCTCTGTTGAAGCATCTCTGCCAAGCCCTGTGCTGAGTACAGCAGCTGTAAGATCATATTGCTGCTCGTGGACCAACTCAGCCTACCCACGTCAAACCGGTGCTCTGTACGGTTCATGTTGCACACACGAACGAAAGTCCGAATGCTGCAGCGAAGCCATGGCAGATGCATTTGCTTTGCGGCAGGTCCAACACGTCCATCGTCTTGGTGGCGAAGCATTCTGCGAGGGATGCCAATAACAGCAATGCATGATTCAAGCGTAGCACAGAGTAGTCTTTGCTCGAAAGGTCACACGGCCAGTTTTAGCTTGCACGCAGAAATGATGTTTCCTGGTTTCCTCTTTTCTTTCACGTGTTTGGCCTTATGATGTAGATGAGCTGCCGGTTTGATGGTCTGCAAGCATCGCAGCATAGGGCTGCACCAGATTTGCAGGTCGCCAACAGCCGCAACCTCTCCCGGGATTGGGCTACTGCAACTCTACACTGCAATGCACTGCAGCGGACGTTCGGTCCTTCTCCATCTCGCCAGCCAAACGGTCCGCCAATGCCTCCGCTTGGCGCTGGCCTGCTCCAGTAGAGCGTTTGGAGATACCAGCGGTACATCTTCCACATGCAACGCACCAAAAACAGATCGCATGTGTGCTCTCGGCATCATACCTCGTCTTTTGAAGCAGAGCTTCCTTCAGCAGATGTAACCGACTCTACCGTCGCCAGGTCAGACCGTGTGGTGCGTGAACACAGGCAAGCACTGCTGCGACCATGCAAGTACAAGCCTTTAGGAGACAGCGCAGGATCGGGGCACTTGCTTGTGCTGCCCCTCGGTCGAGAAAAAAAAACAGCACCATTCGATCATGGTGCATGTCAGTACACGCTAGCAGAGGATGCCTTTACATGCCAGGCTGATGGTGGCTTCCCCAGGCTTTTCAACGATCTCTCTGCGTCGGTTCTCAAAGTCCTGACAGGATGTCGGTGCGTAGTGTAGCTGAGCGTCCGGTTGGCACTCTCCCCGTGGCGCACGAGAAGAAACCTTGCGAAGGCTGCGCGTCTTCAACACTCTATTACGTTGCAATACATGACGTGGGTTCGAGCAAAACCAAGGCAGAGGAACATGCTGTTGCTGAGTATGCATGAGGATATATTGTGTGGAACCAATGAGAGCGAGAATGGGTATAATGACGAGAAGGATCCTTGTAACTCGTCTTCCTAGCGCAATCAAGCATGAAATATCTAGCTCAGTACATGCTTCGACCACTATACCACCACGATGAACACTCCAGAAGCGCGACAGCAACCTTGACGACCGCAAGCATGGTACAGACAAGGGCGGTCTTGATGAGGAACATGACATCGATCCATGTCATGGCCATGACTGCAACATTGCAACCGTTCAGCCGTGTCGGTGACAGTTGCGATACGCGTGCGGGATAACACCAAGCTCCGGTAACTTGCGGGAAACGAAGAACGAAATGATGACTGTGACGGCGATGGATGACAGGACTACCTGGCATAGCATTGGCCGCATGCCCGGTAGTTGGCCCTGCCCTTGTCCGCCTCAGAGCGCTCCTGGTCTCGGCTTCTGCCTCCTCCGCAATGCGGGAGAACGCTGCCTGTGGCGTCTGCCAGCTTTCGTCGAGGCGGTTCACAACGACCCTTCGCGGTTTAATGCAGGAGCTTGGGCTCGCACATATCGATTCTCGTGTCGGACTCGACAGCCACGGCACATAATCATCAAAGAAGACTCGACTTTAGCAGGGTGCGAAGCTTCAGCAGAGTCAGAACACTGCAAGGACGTTTGGAATAAGTCCTGATCCCTGAAACTGCGTTTGGTCTCGGCAGCTGGCCTTATCCACAACTGCAGCTGATGGTTCACTGCCAAACCTGGAGCCGCACACTGACGGGTGTGCAACCTACACCGAGCCGTCTGCACACCCTGTCCTAGCAATCGATCAACCAAGGACTCGCTGACAGGATGATTCACAGTGACAAACTCAAAAATCATGTCATCGCGCCTCTTTCTCAGCTGGACTTCGAACGCCTTGTTTGCTCCAATCCCATGGCATGCAGCAACATGTTGTACACGCATGTCGGTGTGTGTGCGCGTGTTGAGCACATCTCCGTGTGCATATTAGCTTGGTTCGGTTACAGCACATTGCAGCTCTGCCAAATCAGTCACCACACAACATCTTCTCCTGCATCACTGCCACTCTTCGGGCATAGAAGACCCCAGATGCCAGAAGCCTTGTCCACCGCAGCCGGACTCGCAGGAGCGGATCGCACATCCAAGCTGCACCTGTCGCAAAAAGAAAGATGGTCGACAAGGCCCGAAAAGCACGCAGTACATTGTGCATGAATTCTCGGCAAATGCCATGATTGTAGCATGTGGACACTGCTCAAAAGAATACGGCTTCGCTTCGGCTCTAGCCTGCAAGGGCCTATACAAGTCAATGAGGGTGCAATTGAAGAGGGCATGTTCTAAATCCGCCCTCTCGCTCATATGCTTAAAGAAACCAGCCTCTTCTGATGGCGGTCCATGGCCTCTTCGACAGAACACTGCGAGTTGGGACTAGCCGCCTATGCTTTCACACCACACTCTTCTACTTCAGAGTGGGCAAAATGTAGCAATACATTCCATGGCGTGTCGAGCACAGTCAAACTCCTCGTTTACACATCACGTGAACATGCTTGGGAGGGTGGCTGAGACCCAAAAACGGCGAGTGGTGCTGCTGCGGCTCAGCAGCAGAAGGCGTCCCGCAGGTAAAGCCACATCCGCAGGTAAGGTGCGAATCATCCAGATCAGCTGCGCGTCCTTTGAGGTGGTGTCACTTCTCGTCTAGGGTTGCAGCTCTTGACGAAGTTTATAAATTGAAGTGGGCTCGCCGTGTTTTGATCATTGTGTGTTTTATGATCGATTTTGACCATGAAACCACACCAGCCTGAAGGCACTGGTCCACGACATCAGGCTCCCGACTGCCACACAGAGTGTAGCCGTGTAGCCTAGCCGAGCGTGTCAACTATCACTGGTGCGAGGTCCAGCCGCTCTCACGGCTGGATATGGCCGGCTCTGCACCAGGGCGGTTGCGGACGAGCGGAGAAAAAACAGTTTTGGTTGCAAAGCGATCAAGCAGGGGAGATCGGTTCGCCCTAGGATCTGCAAGCTTGCAAATCTTACAATTCGCAATTGAAGCAGCTGGTTCTGTTTGATACTCTTGGAAACACTCAGTGGGTTTATGCAGCGGGTATATCTGCATATCTGCCACGCACTTGCAGGCCGCAGGCCAACGCAGGCAGTCTTCCGTCAAGCACAAGCTGGGTATATCTTGTCCTTTCCTTGCTGTGGCAGCATATTCATCACCAACACACATGAGAGACAGTCCCTATACGGCATGCCGTCCTTCTTCTCTCCGACTGAGGGTTTGCGAGCTCACTGCGTCAGACCGTGAATGCTGCAGTTTTGGCCTGCACAAGGGTTGAATGCAGGCGGGACACGCGGGACACGGTGGCATGCAAATACCTGCGGTGTCTGCACGCTGGGAGATTAGAATCTAATCTACGAGTGCCTGCATAACTAACATCTTCGAGATTGCCATGGTTTGCCATGATGATGTCAACCACTGATAGGTCCCGCCTCTCAAACAAAGGCATCGAGTGGCCGCAATCCGAACTTAGCATGCTGCTAAGTTCGGTCTCAGGCCGGTTGTGCAAGCTGTCCGAGAGCTCCTCCGAGAGGGAGCGGCAAAAAATCTCACACGAGCGCTACGTTGTCATCCTGCACGGAAAGCATCCGCAGGGTTCAGCTCGGCTCCATGATGCACGTCCGGGCACAACCCACCTTCCGAACCATCGGCTGTGACCATCGCCGCTCGGTGGGTGTGAAGGCTGTGGTTTGACCTGCCATCCGGCAGCGAACTCATAATGCGGGCTCCTGAACATCCTGAATCCGGAATAGTGGCTGAGGGGTCCGCCTCCCCGAACATCTTTAGTTGCTTGGGGGGGCCGGGGTCTATGTTGTTTGGGGGTCTGGTCTTCTTCTCTTGTACAGCAGTAGTACAGTAGTACAGTAGTTCAGTGGTACAGTAGCGCAGCAGTACAATAAGAGTACCGTAGTACAGTATTACAGTAGTAGTACAGCACCATTACAGTAGTAGTACAGAAGTAGTACAGGAGTGGTACAGTAGTACAGTAGAAGTAGAAGTAGAAGTAGAGGTAGAAGTAGAAGTAGAAGTAGTAGTAGCAGTAGTAGTAGTAGTAGTAGTAGTAGTAGTAGTAGTAGTTGTAGTTGTAGTTGTAGTTGTAGTAATAGTAGTGGTAGTAGTAGTAGTAGTAGTAGTAGTAGTAGTAGTAGTACAGTAGGAGTAAAGTAGAAAGGCCCCGGCGGGCCGCTGCACTATTGAGGGGGGCTGTCATCCGAACCATTGTGGGGTGCGAGGCTATCAAGTACTACCCCCTTATAAAACTTGATCGGGTATTTTTATATAAGGGGTTTATATTAGAAACCTAATATAAACCTTGGAGCTTTGGGTTGAATCCCTTAAGGCTGGAGGCTCAAGTTTCTATATTGGAGCGTTATGGCTTTAGGGCGTCAGTTTGTAGTAGGAGTGTCTATTCCCTAAAACCTGACTATTACCGGGACGGGAATTTACTACTATTGAGGGGGAGTTTATTATTACGTGCAGGCCGCGTTTAGCTCTGTTGAGGGGCCTGCTCCACTGTGGAGTTCCGGCCGACTTTAGCTCTATTGAGGGGGCCTGTTTATTCATCACGAGGTCACCTTATTTGATTGTTTTTCCACCGGGAGCGTCGTGCCGTCAGAATTGAATCAGAGCCGATTTCCCGAGGAAAGGAGAACCCAAAGCCCCAGAAGCTGAGTTGTGACGAAGCGCTTCGGCCCAGCAATCGGCCCTTCTCCGAGGCAGAGCATCCGCGTTGCTGGTGCTTCTCCAAGGCTTTCCTTGCAATGCAAGAAGCCACAGCCCTGTGGTTTTAAACAATGGTGTATCTCCTGCTTGCTGCTTGCTTGCTTGCCCTGCAGGGTGGCACGCCCGGCTGGACTCCAGAGAATTCGTTCGTGGTGCCTCTCTCTCTCTCTCTTTCTTTCCCCAGGCTTGAGGGCGTGCCCCCGCGGGGAGCAGCCCGACTGTTGAAGGTCTGCACGGTTGTACGTGCGAAAAGTTTCGAGCACTTCGCGGGCTGAGCTTCGTGTTGGTAACCCCAAGTGCTGCTAGTACTCTGCTACTTGTGCTCACGCCCCGCTGCTTGTCAGAGCATTGCAGCTGTTCTGCAAGGGTCGTTTCTTCACCCCACGGGTTTGCTCGACAAACGTTTGCAGCTGCGAAGGCTTCTACTCACCAGAGCGGGCTGGGAGCTTCAGGGTAAAGGACTCATTCTAGCTAGTACAGGCCTACCGGAACTGTCTGTGGCCGCGCTCCGTGTTGTGGCCCTACAGGCTCTGCCCCGTGTGGTGTCAAAACTGAGTAGGAGTACAATGTGCTGCAGACCATAGTATTCGGGGGTCTGTGCGAGCCTCTACCGCCCCACTCTCCGAGGAAACAGCGTGTCTCTCTCTCTCTCTCTGCCGTGCCATCCTCACCTCACGGGCGTCCCTAAGCAAGACACAGATATTAATATATACTTACATACACCCGCGTGCATTTCTGCGGGCGAGCAAGAGACGAGGGAAGGAAGGACGGGAGTGAGGCAGACGATTGAGGTTCATGCTTAAGCGTGCAAATATGTGTATGCATGTGTAAGGGTGCATACACCTTTGAGACCATCAATCTACCAGGCATAAGGCCGTCTTTTCTGGTCAAGCTTCTCACTGTCAAGTAAAGTGTACTGAGCCATGCACAAATGAACGAACCAGAGTGAAACGAGCGTGATGGAAGCACCGTTAACTCACTTCGTTCACATTTCGTTCATTATGTGCTGAGTTGTAATGTTTTTAAACAAAGCAAGAGCGCGCTTCATTCTATTTCCTTGCGTCTTGATTCCTACTATTCATCACAGTATTCTCTTCTTACTTTACAGGAGCGAAGCGATCCCAAAACGAAGCAACATATTGGTTTGTAATGAAGTCAACGTAGTGAAAGTAAGCACGAAATTAGTTCTGTTGTCTGGTATTTTTAGCTTTTCCTTGGTTCGTGGCTCCTCTTTGCTCTAATTATATGTCATTCAAGAGTGACACGCGGTTTCACTTGGGCTCTGCTTCGTTTCGTTGCCCTTTTCATTTAAAAGCAAAGTAGAATGAAGGAACCACAGGCGAAAACACAATAATATAATGTTGTGTCTTTGTGCGGTCTTTGTTGCGCTTAATTCAACACAATGGTGGAATTCAATGATGCGGCCTGATGTATGTCCCATGACGTGCACGATGCCGCACCGCATCGCATCCTTACCCAAACAGCCGAACAGGGCGTGACTTCAATGCTCCATGAGCCTCCAAGGCTCGGGGTTCCACACCTTGGGAATTGGATGCGCGAGTCGCAGAAACACTAAACCTCAGCCTCTTGCCATGTGGTTTGCAGTCATAACGGCTATCGGCCGTCCATGCAAAGGCGAGGCGAGGTGCAACTCTGGCCAAGGCACGTAAAGCCACACTTGCAGGAAAGGCATTCCTGTGCCGGGAGCTGGTACAAGGCCGTGGGCAATCATCGCAATGGCTACAGAGTTGAATTGCTGGAATCCTTTATGTGATGAAACTTCGTAGAAAGTGCTTGCTGCTTCAGGCAGGAGAAACCAGAAGCCTGTCAGCGCCTCTTTTCTGCTTGCATCAGCTTTCGTAGCCTACGTGTCGGCTCGGCCGCTTTAGACCAGGACCTGCGCCATGTCTCCATGGCACGATGGAGCTTTGCCTTACCCCGGCCGCGATCTTTCGCTCTCAGTCGGCTTTCACTGTCACTAGCGGCCGCGGCTGTCACGCCGGTCTCGACGATCACGGCTGCGGCTGCGGTCACGCCGGCCTCGAGCTTCATTAAGAAAGGCTGTTTCTAGGTAGAAACCTGCGCAAAATCAATGGGCCCCGACCACGGTCACGATCATGATGGCGGTCCCCACCGTCGCGGTCTCTGCCTTGCAAGGAGACGGATGACGCGAAGTGCGACTGGCGAGGCAGCAATCCAATACGACGTCGAGCTACGCTCTCCGCGTTCGCCGTCTTCTTTGCCACCGTCTTTGCCTCCACCTTTACCCTTTGGCGGTCGCTCGGGCGGATCTGGTAAGTCACCGCCATCAATGAGTGTCCGGGCAATTTTGCACAACCTCGACAGTGCACCAGCGAAGGATCGATTGATGCTCCTAGCTTTATCGGGCACGGCATACAATACCATCTTTTTCTAGAACCGTTTCGACTCCCACACTCGCTCGTGGCAGGCATGGCTTCTGTTCGTCCCCTTAGGTTCCGCACTGTCATGGTGTCTCTGTGACAAAAGAAATCACTAAGCAAGGTATCGGCATCAGCATAGTTGTTATTTTCGACTGCCTTTTTGCAATGGTTTTGAACCCCGGCTCAAATCCGGATTGCAACGACTGCTGTCATACTACAGTACTAGGGGTTAGATTCAGTAAGACGAGACACTCACTGACGAAGCGAAAATCGTGCGTTGAAGCCTCCAAACCTTCAAACCCGACAAAAGGAAATGGGACTGCAAGATCCGTGGGTTCGAGTGTGACACGGCAACTGGATTGGTCACAACTGCTCGTCTCTTGCCGTGCATTCTCGACCGAGCTCATGGTCCGCCCAGGGACATCGACGACGCATTGCTTGCTGACTTGAGTTGCTTCCGAACGCAGGTGAGCACGCGCTCTTCGTCCGCAGAGCCTCGGTTTACGAGGTTCACTTGGTGCAAGCATGACCATTGCAAATGCCAACCCGCCAATCCCGAATACTCCCGACATTGAGAAAGTGCTCTGCAGGTTACAGTAGGCTTGGTGCCCTTTTAGGCTAGCGGTTGCACTGAGCCGAAGACGCTTCTCGATGATCTCTCGCATCTTTGAACAGGCGTCCTGCGGTGTGGCTCATACAGGAAACCCTCCAGCTCCAATACTCTAAGACCAAAGGCCGGGGAATGAGAGATGCTGCCACTTGCCCCTGTAACGCTTTTTGAAGATCCGGCAAAGACCTGTCACAAGAAACTCTTCTAAGTCCCTGAAACCCTGACCTGAGACCCTGGTCCCCCTTAGGCCCGACTGTGGGCCCTGTCCTCGTCCAGCTTGAAGTCTGTCATGATCTTCTCCGCATTGGTGAGATCAGGCAACTCGTCGACCTCACCCTCGAGCAGCTTTCCAACCTTAGCTTTTACACATTTAAAGGTTACTCGAAAACTCAAACTCTATAACCCTGAAGCTCGAAGGATACAGCTCAGTGTCTGAGGCCTATGAGCCCATGAGGTTCTTTGACATATCGCAGTAATCGCATTATGCATCCGGGACAGGCGCTTAGCCTGTGGGGCGACGCGCAGACTCAGAAGGGCAAGAAGTCCGAACTATTGCCGATAAGGGTGTTTCCGACAATTCGGGGTTCCTTATTTTGGGGTCCGTGTAACAGGATACTATTTTCCCCCTTCTCTGGCTGAGCTGCTAGGAGCGTGCAAAGCGCATTTGGTCTTTTGGCAAAGCGCAAGTGGAACTCTATCCGCTCCAAGTCCTTGAGAACACTCGATGATTGTAGCTCAACGTGAGCATAGGTTGACAGCGCAGCAGGCAAGACCTGTGATGCTAGCATGATACTCGCCGAGCATAAACTTTGCACGAGACCCCGTTCGCCCACCTATGAACGTCCCAGAGCAGCGACGACTGGCAAACTTGGCAGCACAGTCATGCACCGTCCTTCATGGCTCGCTCTTCTTCGCCGTTGCGCTTTCGCCAAACCTTCAAGGATCCATGAACGCTGTATTGGCACGCTCCATGCAGCGAGCGTGAGCCACATGCGATATCTGCGCACGACAAGATGGGAGGCACTCTCTGCGGTATCATGGATAAATGTCACTTGAACGTCCCGAATGTCCAACGGAAGACCATGAAAACCTCTCACTAAACAGTCGGCGAGGCTCAGAAGTTTATTGATCTTGCAGTATCCTGAAGTTCCCCAACATGTGAAGAGCTACCCTGGGTCCTCCTTGCCTTCAGTTCCGTGATCTTTGAACTCACGTGGTCATCAAGCTTGAACTTTCCTAGCAAATCTCGTGGGTTTCTGCACGCACACTCGCGATTGGGTTTAGGGCACACCAGTGAGGCAACCATGCAATCTATCAGGTATGACTTTGGGGCTCCTGCAGCAAACAAATCTGAGGGCTTGAAATCTTCAGAATCTTCATGCTAAGCGCGCGAGTCTGAGGACATGCCCCGCACACAAAAACATGTGCAACAGATTGCAACAGCGACAGGGCGAGGGGTACGAACAGTGCAGTCACGGTTCTGGCAATCCGCTCTACATCCTTGTCCGGCTTGACCTTCCCAACGAACTGCCCGCACTCCATCTTCCCGATTTGCACGGTAAGCAGTCCCGTCGGACTCCGAGCCTTCTCCTTGGCAACAACATGCACACAGGCGCGCGATCGCTGCACCTACGTTCGAGACTTCATGTTCAAAACGTCATTGTACACTCTCTACTGACCGGTGTGCTGGAAAATAATGTGGCCAGGTGCTAAGACCTCATACAGCTTCTCGATATCCTGAGCTTTGGTGTCCTGTCGCTTCTTCATGGCCTGGACAATGGTGCACGCAGGAGCGTCGTGTCGTGTCGCAGCACCAGGCCTCGTTCAAGCGAACCACCCAGCGCTCCTCGATGTTGAAATAATCCTTGTTTGCCACTTGCATGCAAACATCAACTTCGGCAGCCACAAGTGGTGCCAGCGCAAGACCAGCGGCATGTCCAAGCAAATGATTCATGCCTACAACTTAACAGCGCAGTCCATGCGATGCAGGTTCTCGAGTCTTAAGGCTGCTTGCTTATATCTTTCGCTTCCTATCAAGTCAAGTCTTTGCGCTTCAGACCGCCGACAGTTTGCTAAAGTCTTCCAAAGATGAATGCTGCTCTTCCTCAACCCTGCTGTTTTGTTCCTTCATGCAGCACAAATGCCCCAAGCTCACGAAGGTCGGGGTCGATCGCATCGTCGTCATCATGATGTATTGACGGCTTTTCCTGCGACGATGAGATGCCGTTCCGGCTGGCATCATGAGCTGAGCGAACAGCAGCGAATGCCTCGTTTATGCCGAGAAGCCTGTCCAACAGCCACTACGCCAAAAGCCGAGCCACTGCATGAATTTAACTCAAAGAGATTCCCGGAGGCTGACTGCGAAAAGCAACCCCTTCGAAGCTCCGTCTAGTGTCCTTCTCCGCGGCTTGCGGGGGCGGCCCGCCTCCACCCATGTTTGCCATGCCTTGAAAAGCAGAAGGGCACGCTGGAGTGGCATGGCGCATTGAACGACCGCCGCAGATGCTGCGTCGGAGAACCAACGAGCAAAATGAAGATGCACTCAGAAGCAGTTTGCTATTTGCAAGACAAGGCTCCCATCATGGCGGCCATCGGGTTCATGCCCTGCTGAGGCGCGGCCCCTCCAGCCTTGGCCATCATCTGCTGCATGTTCATCATCCTTGGATTTGAATCGCCATATCTATTGGCGGGCTCAAGCCGCGACAATGACGGCGCGACTCTTCACAAAGGACCCGACAGCAAAAGTTATCGAAGGCTCATCATCATGGCCATCATGGGGTTGTTACCAGCCATCGGGCCCATCATTCCAGGGCAGCCAGGACAGCCCCCAGGGCAGCCGGGACATCCACCCGGACAGCAGCCGGGGCAGCCAGTCGGGCACCCGCCAGGGCAAGGACAGGCACCAGGACATGCTGGGCAGCTAGGACACGCTCCACAGCCTGGCGGGCAAGCTGGTCCACCCGGGCGTGGACAACCGCAGCCGCAAGGACCGCACGGACAGGGACAGCAGCCTCCGCAGCCACAAGCGCAGCCACAAGGACCGCAACCACAGCCGCCGCACGGACAGGGACACCCACCACAACCTGGACAGCCCGGGCAGCCTCCACAGGGACCAGGACAGCAAGGGGAAGGCCCCGAAGCGGAGTCAGTTCCACCTCCTCCACTTGGAACCAACTGGCTGTTATCCTTGCCGTCCATGGCTGCAGACCTAGCCACTATAACCTGCGGGACAATTCTCGCTTGGAAATGCCCAAGTCTACCGTATGGCCAGATTCGGTGCTGGTGCCGGTGCTTGCCATTTATTATAGTTACACTGCATCGTCCAAAATCTCATTTCAAGATGATGCCTGACGGAGTGCAGATTCCAGATTTGTGGCAGGGGCATTTCTGATGAGACCTACAGTGCCTACATCAACATGGCCACGTATGCATTTATGACAGTTCTGACTCATCACCATTGAACATGACACGGCTCAAGAATTCCCTGCTTGCATCTTGGAATCAACGAAAGCAGACTGGGCTCAACACGGCTCAACTGACTATGACTGAGGTACACAGCCGTCGAAACAGAGCAACAAGCACGCCATCGCTAAACAACTGCTAAACATCTCGGATTCATCTTTTATCGGGGACGGCCCTTCGTCCCTCTCAGCTCCTTGTTGCGGCATCGCCTGTACATAGCTAACGGCCACGACTGTCTCGGCGCTCCCGCCGATCGCGGCTGCGGCTGCGGCTGCGGTCCCGCTTGTGACCTCTGTCATTGCCTCGATAGGTGCAGTGGGAAAAGGCAGGTCATTCGAAGACGACGAAATATCGGAGCTTGGACTAGCTTTTCAGGCAAGCGGTTCACACAACTCCGAACAGAGCAAACTACTTATATCTACTGGGTTGCCAACTTGCTCTGGTCGTGTGGCACGGCCGCATACGAGCTGTAACTAAATTGCCTGAGCCTCGAAACGCATGATTTTGGCAATGCATGTGCAAATGCGGCCCAAGAGCGGTAGACTAGACGTATGACCGCCAGAGTCCCTCGTCCGAAGAACCCTGGAACGCACAAGATTTCCTCTGACATGACACGATGCCGCACTACTAACAAACTGAAGGACGTCGTGGGATTATTGACATCATTCGGATCTGCGGCAGTTCCTGTACGGCTTACCGGCGCTTGCTGCATAGTTACGGTCGCGGTCGTGATGCCGATCACCCCCATCACGGTCTCTGCCTGAAGAGACCGCGCATGGGTGAAAAAAGCAACACTGTCATTCATTTTTTGCTCTGGGATCTGCAGCCCAAGCGGCGCTCTGAACGCTCGCCATCGTCCTTGCCACCGTCCTTTCCTCCTCCTTTGCCTTTCGGCGGTCGCTCAGGCGGATCCGGCAGGTCTTGTCCATCAATCAACTGCCGTGCAATTTTGCACAACCTCAGATCAAAGACAAGATGTGGGTCTGTCGGTCCCTCATCCCCGTGCCGTACTTGTAATGATCTCAACCATTGCGGATGCGACGTAGGTCGGTCAATTTGGCAAACTCCTGACTTAAACTCTATTGTTCGTAGTGTTCGCATTTCTTCACCGACATTTGTGCCAAGGGGCATTGATGAAGCGTTGCTCGCCGATTTCAAGTGTTTCCGAACAGAGGTAAGCACGCGCTCTTCGTCCGGAGAACCTCTATACGGAAGGCTGCTCGTGCAAAACTGGTTACATGTGAGAACATATCAGGGAATGTCTACATGCTATATCATATGGTATCGCGGGCGATGGTACTGGGTAGCGATCATGCGATCAACCCTCAGCTGTACCGCATCCCTTCGAGGTGTTGTCACATCGAGCTGCGCTTCTCGATGATCTCCCGCAGCTTTGAGCAAGCATCCTGCAAAGCTACAAGTATGAGTGGTCTTCTGAAGCAACACGATCACGTGGCCACGAAGGCAGGGTTGTGGGTACCTGACATCACTACCACTATTATTATTGTTCAAAGCATGCACCTAAAGCTCTCGCGCATGGTCCTCATCCAGCTTGAAATCTGTCATGATCTTTTCGGCGTTGGTTAGGTCTGGGAGCTCGTCTATCTCGCCCTCCAACAGCCGTCCAACCTTGGCTCACTGCCTCTGGGACAGGAAACCACCGGGAACGAAGGCCAATGCCACTGTCAACATTGTGCCAGGCCGCTAGGAGTGTGCACAGTGCGTTGGGCCTCTTGGCGAAGCGCAAGTGATACTCTATCCGTTCCAAGTCCTGCAGAAAAAGTTCCCAGAACAAGCAAATTACCTTGAGCAGCCGGAGCTGATGATGACGTTAGTCTTAGCAAATTTCTTGGAAGTCCTTCGCGGCACGATCTTCCTCGCCGTTGCGTTTCCGCCACACCTGCCAGGCTAGAACAAGAAGCTTCGCGGCAAGCGACTCATGGCTAAACGATACACTTACAAGCTTTCGGAAGTGTCGAGAACGACCTTCCCTAAGACCCCTGCCTTCAGCTCCGTCACTCTTGAAGTGACATGATCGTCAAGCTTGAATTTTCCTTATAGCCACAAGCCAAGACTGTACTCTTCAGCAAAGTACCGCAAGACATCATGTGTCAATACAGACGCCAGTGAACACAGTATGTAATGAAGTGCATCAACATGAGGCGGTGTCCATCAGCTGTGATGGAAGCCCGGGCCTTTCGCTTCAGGTTCCCTGACTCTCCCTAAGAAACCACTGGTAATGCCGGGGTTCTCGCCATCCTCTCAACATCCTTGTCCGGCTTGATCTTCCCAACGAACTGCCCGCACTCCATCTTCCCGATTTGCACGGTAAGCAGTCCCGTCGGACTCCGAGCCTTCTCCTTGGCAAGAACATGCACACAGGCGCGCGATCGCTGCACCTACGTTCGAGACTTCATGCTCAAAACGCCATGTAATGCTCAGACTCTACTGACCGGTGTGCTGGAAAATAATGTGGCCAGGCGCTAAGACTTCATACAGCTTCTCGATGTCCTGAGCCTTGGTGTCCTGTCGCTTCTTCATGGCCTGGACAATGGTGCACGCAGGAGCTTCGGGTCGTGTCGCAGCACCAGGCCTCGTTCAAGCGAACCACCCAGCGCTCCTCGATGTTGAAATAATCCTTGGTTGCCACTTACATGCAAACACCTGCTTCGGCAGCAACCAGCGTGCAAATGAAGTCAACGGTCCACGCAAGGTAAATTCCCAGAAGTCATGCTGGTCGCTTTGCTCTGTTGGCATGTTCAAAACACTAGCTCACGAGGGTAAATGCTGAAACTCCCCGTTCGGGAGCACCTGCAACTCCTGAAAGCCTGGGCTGCACTTCATCTCCCTTCGTGCAGAGTCACCCCAAGCTCGCGGAGATCAGGGTCTATCGTCTCGTCATCGTCATCCTTTACTATTGGCTTGTCCTGCAATCCGGTGATGCATATGCTACTCAGAACGAGCATCCGATGTATGCCAGCAATTTTGCTAACAATAGCTGACATATAAGCAAACACTGCAAACATCATCTGTGCATGCTTTGGTCTTCTGACCAAACACGAATGGAAAACAGATCATGGCAGCCATGGCAGATGCAAGCACATTCCACTCATTGCTAACACTGCCCGAACTCAGTTCTCCTTTTCTGCAGTTTGCGGAACAGGCGCGCTCCCACCCATGTTTGCCATGCCTTTGCTGCAAGATTCAGGATTCGAATCGAGCTGTCAGAGTGAAAACTGAAATTTAGCAGCATCGTTTCAAGTGGATAATGAATGCTAAAGTCAAACAAGGCTCCCATCATGGCAGCCATGGGATTCATGCCTTGTTCGGGAGGGGCGCCTCCTGCTTTGGCCATCATCTGCTGCATGTTCATCATCCTTGGATTTGAATCGCAATATCTATTGGCGAGCTCAAGCTGCGACCATGACAGGCGCAACTCCGACAGCAACAGTTATCGGAGGCTCATCATCATGGCCATCATGGGGTTGTTACCAGCCATCGGGCCCATCATTCCAGGGCAGCCAGGACAGCCCCCAGGGCAGCCGGGACATCCACCCGGACAGCAGCCGGGGCAGCCAGTCGGGCACCCACCAGGGCAAGGACAGGCACCAGGACATGCTGGGCAGCTAGGACACGCTCCACAGCCTGGTGGGCAAGCTGGTCCACCCGGGCGTGGACAACCGCAGCCGCAAGGACCACACGGACAGGGACAGCAGCCTCCACAGCCACAAGGGCAGCCACAGGGACCGCAACCACAGCCGCCACACGGACAGGGACACCCACCACAACCTGGACAGCCCGGGCAGCCTCCACAGGCCCCAGGACAGCAAGGGGAGGGCCCAGAAGCAGTGGAGCCACCCCCGCCTTCTCCAGACGGCACTAGAGCATTTTCCTTGCCGTCCATGGCTGCACGCCTTGCAGGCCTAGCGCCAGAAATGCTAATGTTGGAAAGCTGCTTCTTTGGTGTAACGGTATAAATCGGTATAAATCAGCGGGACCCTTGACTGCTTCTTCAGCACCGATGTCTGGTTTATTGTTGGCTTCAGGCACCCGGGGTAGGGGCACTTCTTCTGCGAGTTTTGCATCTTAGAATTGGCTCATCAATAGTCCTGCAGCCGCGGCTTTGAGCTCTCGTGACATCGCGGATGCAAGCACTGCAAATGACACAGGCCATGAGCACTTCACAAATATAGCAGGCTCCGACATAACATATTATGACGGTCTCACCGTTCTTAAGAAAGCCTGGCAGCAGCCAGCAACGAATGCTTGCTTTTGCCAGCGCTGGCTTGTGGCTGTTCAGCCTGAGGCCGAGGAGAGACCTCAGCAATTAGCGGCCGCGGCTGTCGCGGCGCTCCCGGCGGTCTCGGCTGCGGCTTCGCTTGTGGCCTCATCACTGTGCAGGCTGCAGTGAAGACACACTTAGACAAAGATCCAGTCGAGCGAGCTTTTACGTTGCCGGGCTCGGCCGTAAGGTTGTGCGAAGTGGCAGCAAAGGAAACCTACTGTAGAAAGCCTCGCGGAATCTATTGGACTGACGGCAACCTACAAACACTGCCCACAGACTTTTCCCAGTACCACATGCAAGTCTCCGGTGATTGCTGGTCGGTGTTTGAGATAAACCCGTGCGCGCGAATACTAGCATACCTTCTCGAAGACACCCCCTGTGGCAGTCTGCGCTTGAGCAGTTCCCATGCAAGTTTCCAAATGTTTGGAAGCCGATCCTTGCAATACAGTCACGGTCACGGTCGTGATGCCGATCCGCGCCGTCACGGTTTCTGCCTGCAAAAGCCACGCACTGGTTAAAAGCAATGCTGCCTAATAGGGCCAAGTTTATTGCTTCAGCCGAAGCGGCGCTCTGAACGCTCGCCGTCCTCCTTGCCGCCGTCCTTTCCTCCCCCTTTGCCTTTCGGCGGTCGCTCAGGCGGATCCGGCAGGTCTTGTCCATCAATCAACTGCCGTGCAATTTTGCACAACCTTGGATCGAAGGGCTGGAGCAATGAAGGCGACCGTGCTGCTTGCCAGGAATTCGAAATACGGCTTCGTTGGCTGCGGTATCTTGAGGTGCGGGCAAAAATCTAAGACGCACTGATCGCTGATCAGCTCGATCTCTAAATTTTGGACAGGTTTCACGGACAGCCGCCGACAGTCGCACAAGAAATAGCAATTGGTGCAGGAAAAGCTCTGTGTCATACCAACAGACATGCCCACAAGATGCCTGAAACTTGCAAATCCGAGGGACATCGAGGAAGCATTGCTGGCGGAATTCAGATGCTTCCGGACACTGGCAATCACACGATCTTCGTCTTCGTAGCCTAGGAAAGACGGCTGCGTCAAGTGAGGGATCCTAGAAGCAGCTTTTTGTGCGCTTGGGCACGTTAAGTGTTGGGCTGCCCTGCTGTATATTCTACATAAGCAGAGAAGTAACACTGCAGATCCTAGGGATGGCAGAGCCTCCTTACAGTGGCGGCACGTCCGGAGCTTGACTTTTACTATGTGATAATTACTATCTTGTTGCTGAGCCATCGGCGCTTCTCAATGATCTCCCGCATCTTCGAACAAGCATCCTCGCCAAATCCAACCGAAGCCTTCTTAGATGGAGCCGACTCAGTCGTAAGCCATGCTAGGTACAAGGATTCTTGTTTAATTCCGAACGAACGATTGTCTGTTTCCCCGGCATCGTAACCGTACTGGAGGCGTGCTGAAGAAGAACAAGGCAAAGAATAGCCCATCCTCATCAAGTTTGTAGTCCGTCATGATCTTCTCTGCTTTCACGAGGTCTGGCAACTCATCCATCTCACATTCAAGCAGCTTGCCCACCTCGGTTGCATACCCAGAGACCCTTGGTTGGCGTAGAACGACAGGATGATGCAAGTACCGGGTGCCGTCTTTGTGTTGAGCCGCCAGAAGAGTGCAGAGAGCATTGGGCCTCTTTGCGAAACGCAGATGGAACTCGATCCGCTCCAAATCCTTCCCGAAAGCATGCAGCAAGCTTCTCGTCTGGATGCCGCGCAAGCTAGACCAAGCCACTACGACAAAGCCTGGCAAGTCCTTGGTGGCCCTGTCTTCCTCGCCATTTCGCTTCCGCCAAACCTTTCGGCAAACAGAAACCGCAGCTGAGAATCCTCTGCAGTCTCGGGCTGTCTCACCGGCAAAATGCCTCTACACTTGACGTGCTGTTACTGAATGTGGAGTGGCAGTCTGATCGAAAAGGCGGTTCCACACACCATGGAAGCCTTGAGCTCAGTAAGCCTGGAGGTCACGGGATCGTCGAGCTTGAACTTTCCTGGGTGCACATTCCCAAGGAACATCACGAATCTGTGGCTCAAGGCCGGCTTGAAGGCTTGTTTCTGTGGGCGGCGTCGCAATTACCTTTCTCCTTGCTAAGAGCCAACCAGCAGAATGTCAAGGGCAGATCTGACAAGTGCTTCTCTTGCCACAGTGATCCTGGAGTGATCCTGACAGGCTTCTCGCCAGCCGCTCCACGTCCTTGTCCGGCTTGATCTTCCCGACGAATTGCCCACACTCCATCTTCCCGATTTGCACGGTAAGCAGTCCCGTCGGGCTCCGAGCCTTCTCCTGGGCTGCAAAAGCTTTGTGCCGGCTAAAGCATGGGATTGCATGCATAGTGAATTAGTGAATAGTGTCTACCACGCGATATCACGCGATGCAGTCAGAGTGGCTAAGACCTCATACAGCTTCTCGATGTCTACAGCCTTCGTGTCCTGCCGTTTCTTCATCGCCTGTGTGCGATGCGAAAGATGGTGCGCGCAGGAGCGTCGGGTCGTGTCGCAGCACCAGGCCTCGTTCAAGCGAACCACCCAGCGCTCCTCGATGTTGAAATAATCCTTGTTTGCCACTTGCATGTAAACATCAACTTCGGCAGCCACAAGTGGTGCCAGCGCAAGACCAGCTGCATGTCCAAGCAAATGATTCATGCCTACAACTTAACAGCGCAGTCCATGCGATGCAGGTTCTCGAGTCTTAAGGCTGCTTGCTTATATCTTTCGCTTCCTATCAAGTCAAGTCTTTGCGCTTCAGACCGCCGACAGTTTGCTAAAGTCTTCCAAAGATGAACGCTGCGTTCCTCAACCCTGCAGTTTTGTTCCTTCATGCAGCACAGATGCCCCAAGCTCACGAAGGTCGGGGTCGATCGCATCGTCGTCATCATGATGTATTGACGGCTTTTCCTGCGACGATGAGATGCCCTTCCGGCTGGCATCATGAGCTGAGCGAACAGCAGCGAATGCCTCGTTTATGCCGAGAAGCCTGTCCAACAGCCACTACGCCAAAAGCCGAGCCACTGCATGAATTTAACTCAAAGAGATTCCCGGAGGCTGACTGCGAAAAGCAACCCCTTCGAAGCTCCGTCTAGTGTCCTTCTCCGCGGCTTGCGGGGCAGGCCCGCCTCCACCCATGTTTGCCATGCCTTGAGCAGCAGAAGGGCACGCTGGAGTGGCATGGCGCATTGAACGACCGCCGCAGATGCTGCGTCGGAGAACCAACGAGCAAAATGAAGATGCACTCAGAAGCAGTTTGCTATTTGCAAGACAAGGCTCCCATCATGCCGGCCATCGGGTTCATGCCCTGCTGAGGCGCGGCCCCTCCAGCCTTGGCCATCATCTGCTGCATGTTCATCATCCTTGGATTTGAATCGCCATATCTATTGGTGGGCTCAAGCCGCGACAATGACGGCGCAACTCTTCACAAAGGACCCGACAGCAAAAGTTATCGGAGGCTCATCATCATGGCCATCATGGGGTTGTTACCAGCCATCGGGCCCATCATTCCAGGGCAGCCAGGACAGCCCCCAGGGCAGCCGGGACATCCACCCGGACAGCAGCCGGGGCAGCCAGTCGGGCACCCGCCAGGGCAAGGGCAGGCACCAGGACATGCTGGGCAGCTAGGACACGCTCCACAGCCTGGCGGGCAAGCTGGTCCACCCGGCCGTGGACAACCGCAGCCGCAAGGACCGCACGGACAGGGACAACAGCCTCCACAGCCACAAGGGCAGCCACAGGGACCGCAACCACAGCCGCCACACGGACAGGGACAACCACCACAACCTGGACAGCCCGGGCAGCTTCCACAAGCCCCAAAACAGCAAGGGGAGGGCCCAGAAGCAGTGGAGCCACCCCCGCCTTCTCCAGACGGCACTAGAGCATTTTCCTTGCCGTCCATGGCTGCACGCGGACTGTAAGGCGATGCATGAAGCTGTCTCGCGAAGGTTTAGCTGGGGTAGTTTGGAGGGTGATGGCACCCACCTTCTGCTTTTCCTGGTCGCACCGCACTCGTTGCTGCGTTGTCATTCCGCCATATACTTTACTTCTCAAATCGCTTGCCTTCATGGTCTCCTGACTAGTTTCCAGTGTGCTGGGTCAGGTGACTGTGCACGGCTGCACTCTTGAGCTGACCTCATATAGGCCTTGACTCCTGTGGGCATGGCTCTGGCACGGCATCATGGTTTCTTGGGCAGTATCTCATCAAGCTCAGTGGACTGAGAGCATGAACCAGACCGAAATCACCGAGCTCGGGCCTGTGCACCTTCTACGTATTGACTTTTACACATTAGTTGCGCCCTGCTCAAGACGATCCCGGGCAACAACATCCTCTGAATGGCCGCCTCATCAGCAAGAGCGTTAGGCAGCAGCCGTGTCATTGCTCGCAGCACCTATTTGGGTTTCCCAACGTGTACCCAGACGTTGAGTGCCTGTTGCCATTCCATGACCGCGATAGCCTGATGCTCACAAGCTTGCCTGAAGTGTCGATCACGTGGAGCGAGTGCTGGTGGTCTTGCACCAATACCTACAATGATACCCTGAGCCAGCAGCTGAAGCACTCAGCAGTCCGACTTCAATTCATGAACCCAGGATCCTGCGACCCATTCCAAGGCCGCAAGAGCTGCTGCATGAGAGCTGGAACATGCAAGTCGATCATGGCGAAAATTGCGGGTCAAACACAAAACCATGCTCTTCGTCAATGGAATGTGTCACAGTTCGCAGTCGGGTCGAGATGTCCAGACCTGCACGATTTTCCCTTTTTGCGCATCTGCAGCCCTGTTTAAAGCCGTCATATGCAAACAACAACGAGTGCTGATATCCTGAAAGAAGCAGCTGGTGCACTTGCAAAACGAAAGAAACGATTCAAGCCCGTAATGTTGAAGTCGTCATCTCGAACTCCTGGTGGGTGTCCTGGCGGAGATCAAGGCCCAGCAAACTGGCTTCAAAAGGGGCCTTTCTAGCCCAGTACGGCTTACAGAGGGCCTGCAGGGTTTTCCCCAAGCCTGACATCTCCTTGAGTCTGGAACTGGGACAATATGACAGGCGTTGACCAGGTTGCAGGGATGCTGGGCTTATGCCTGTCTAACCAGGCCCTTCCCGGGTGGAGCTTAACATGGTAAAGTTGAAAAGGCCAAGAGGCGCTGGCCCTTTGCACAGTTCGCGAGCTTCGCGAGTCGTTCGGCTCGCCGGTCTTAGTAATAGGAGCATTTGTCCCTGGATCCTTCGAACGAGCCATCGTGTTCATGATCTGCTGCCAAGCCCAAGGCCCGCGAGCGAACAAAGATGACGATCCCCAGGATTAGCGCCGCTGCCGCGAGAAACCACCTTGCGAGAAGCGAACTAATTACAAGGTAGCCAGGCCAAGGTAGAATGGTGGCTACACCTCTGTTTTCGAAGACAAGGGATTGGGCTAGCTTGACAACACGGCATCTGGCGTGCATGCTCCGGGCATTCCTGTTGCTCCAGCAAGCATGGATTTATTGTCGCAGCTCGCATCTGGCAAACATGAGAACTAGGTTAAGTGCAGCAAGCCACCACAGCTTGTCTGCCAGTACAGACGAATTCTTTGGCTCTCCTTCGGCGCAAGGTCAGTCAAGAAGTGATCTGTGCCGCGTCTGCTACAAAACTGGCCTGGGTCGGCAGTCGTGGTAGGTGCCGAGGCCGTCGATGTTGTGGGCGCTGAAGTCTTCACCGCCATGCAGTCTAGTCGGCCCTGCAAGTCTTCATGAAGGCACAACCATCACAGAAAGCTCACTGCCAATACAGTATGAGTCAGCATGCCTTCCGGTGATGCGGTGGGAAGAAGAACCGTTTGCGTGCACATCCGAGAGGCTGGAAGTGCCGTCACGACGCCAGCGCCACCAAAGTCGCAAATAGACGCCGCATCTGCCTCGCCCTGGTCAGGAGTTCAGCACTCACGGCACAAGCTGCGGCACGGAGGTTGTCAGGTCGTTATCAATCTTTTGTTCGGAGGGGGGGGGGAGTGTTGGCATGTCAATGCAGCTTAAGGCGAGTCGTTTCTGCTCTCGAGGCCGGGGGCCGCCTTCTTGAGCTCGAAATACATCGAGAAGGCCCAGTCACTCTTGGTATAGATGTCATCGGCACCTCGACACTTTGCGTGTGTACCCAAGGACTTGTGAGCACGGGCTCATACATCCACCTGCAGCTTCAGGAGACAAAAAATTATGGTACCCCACCGTCCCCAATGTGCCTTGTTCTTAAGTTGCCTCTTTTGTGCCAATTCTGGCAAATCGCAAAACCTAACCCTAATTTCATTCCTTTCTACTTCAATTCAGATTTGCCTAGTGTTACATGTTGGCTCACTAGTTGGCTTTCCATGTTTCTCCGTCTTCTTCATAAGTCCTTAGGAGATGTCCAAATGTACGGGACCGTTGTCTGTGAAATTTCCGCGCCGCTGACTTCTCAAAAACGGTGCTCCCTGCAAACCGACAGAATCGGCAAGCAAAGCGACATGCTGGAATCACATGGCAACGACCAACATGCATCCATAATTCGCATCAATCAGGGGGAAGGCAAATCAAATTCTATGCCCCATAAAATGAATAAACCATAATAAACCTAACCTTGCCCATTTCGGGATGTTACATCACCTGATAAATAGGATGAGATAGAGTATTTTAAGGATAATGAGCTACTATTTGGTTGACGGCGATGTAACTACCCACAACGGGCATGCCCTATGCTGCTAACTAACACACCCGGAGAAGCGCAAGCATAGAAGCGATGTCACTTGTGTTTCTGAGGTAGCTACGAGAAGGTCCAGTTCATGAAATTGTCTCCGGGCTCAAGAGCCCTTCGACAAGGTATGCAGAGTATAAGTGTAAGCTTCCTGATTTCATCTTCGGCATCCTGTAGCCATGCTCCAGCAATGCAGGCAAGCGGCAAGCAGCAGGCAAGCCCTCTGTGCAATCATGGCCTTGCTTTTGCAAGGTCTAGTGACGGCCACACTGCACTGCAACTGCTTCGCAGTCGAAGCCTCCACAGCCCCCATCGTGAGAGAAGGCGGTTTTGTAAATCAGAGAGCCCGCTAGAGCACAAAGGTGTCAAGTGGCCCATTTGGCCAAGCTGGTCGCAAACCCATCCCAGGCCAGCCCCCAACGGATCGATGTCTCCTGCGGGTTGCATGTTGGGTATACCAGGGAGGACCTGCTCCCACCTGGGTGGAGCCGGCGGCCCTTGATACCCTATCGGGGAACATGCAATGTCGGGAAAGTCGTGAAACCAAAACGCATGGTATCGTGAGTTCATCCCGCCCTGAGCTAAAACTAGCTGAAACACCTGACTCCTTGTGCACCAGAAAATGAAACATCTGCATCGAGCCCGGATCCTGCATTGAGACCACACCTTTAGGCGTGCACGGGTTCTGCATACACCACATCCAAGCCATCAACCTGCATCGTTGACAATACTATGCGAATCGTCGTCGCAGGAAGAACTACTTACTTCTACTTCCACTTGCAATTCAACTTCTACTCCTACTTCTTCAGTTTTCTGCTGCTACTATTACTACTACTGCTGCTGCTGCTAATACTGCTGCTTCTGCTTCATCTACATCCACATCTACATCATCGTCATGTCCTTCCTTTTCTTCCAAAGTGCTAGTACGATGATAAGTAATAACGAAGATATACCATTCAATCTTCATCTTGGCACATGTGCTACCAAACCATGTCCAATCATGCCGAGTCCTCTGGAAGCGACGCAGTACCTGACTTGAGAGACTCAACACATGTTGAGGTCACAGATGCAACCACATCACAAACAAATTGTTGCGGGTAGTAAATTTGATGGCCTGGCCCCCAAGCTTCAGACCGGGTCGCTGCTTTGGCTTCGCCTCCCAACCTGCTTCGCAAATTGTCGTGTTTGGCACAGAACCACCGTAGGCAGCAGCGATAGCCTCGTGCAGCTTGGCAGTTGCGACAGCCTCCCTGTAATGACTCTCAACTTAGATGCTGTGGCTGGGGCTTCTGAAAATCGAAGGTCCAGTCAATGAGTGAGAAGCCAAAGTACCACTCAACCGCTCAAGGCAACACTTGTGGCCGATACAAATACAGGGCTCAGTGGTATGGACAGACCGTCAGCAGGCTCAGAACAGTGAGGCTGGGGGGGAGACTGTTTTGAAGGATACAACTGGTTTTGCAGCGCCATCGTTACGGCATGGCTCCAATGTTCAGCAGAACTTGACAGGCACTGAGCCCAACAAGTCGTCCACGGCTTCATCAGCCAACGCAACACGCAAAGACAGGAGTGGGAATAGTTGCGGTGACATTGCCATCCAGGACTGGTTTGCCAAATGAACGCCATGCTTTTTTATGCCGGTCAAGATCGCAAGATCATTTCATGCTTGGTTTCAACCCCATCAGTTCATTTGGCAATCGTCTTTGAAAGTGGACGCTAGACCATGGCCCACGGGACTATGCCATTTGTACATGACTGTGCGCCTCGGGCTTGCCTCGGAAGATGGGCTTGACGCACTGGACTGGGTACACGTTATTGCTGTCGTAGTTAATGCCACCTGTCTTGCTGACCTTGGCTGTAAACGGGTTCTCAGGGGAAATGCCAGCTGCTTAGCACAGTTTCGAGCCACAGATCCCACGCTTCTGTGGCTGACCACGGCGACTGGGCACCAAATGCTACACTATGCTACTTGTACGGCTCTGAACTGCATGGCCTGGCCGCACCCATCATTCAGGACAGGCACCTGTATGTCTCCCAGCGAGAATGTGCCATAAAGCCTTGCCAGCCGTGTCAAAGCAAGATGTGCAACAAGCTATTTGGCCTTATAGCCCGCTTGATAGCGCGAAACGAAGCTCTCTTGAGCCAGCCTTTCACTGCAGCCACGTGGAAGAGGCTTGTCCATGGGATTGTCCCACGCCTCTCCTTCCCAACGATCCCAACCTTGGGAGTTGACACCGGGCTTGGGAGAGCTCGGAACTGGTCTCCACTTGGAATAGCAAGCATGCTGACATTAAGCGAAGATCCTGCGCTGTCCTCACATGGCTTCCAGTAGGCGACCTCTCAGGGACCAAGAAGGGACTAATTAGGGTAACAATCTCCCGCAAATGACATATCTGGAATTGAACACCAGCCGCCGGCCACTTGAGTTTTCCCTCTTGGGCTCTACGATAGGTGATGCCCCTCTAGATTGTCATCTCTATACGAAGCGACGGGTGGATCGCCAACGACTTCGCACCATCCACCATCTCAAGTAGAGCTTGCAACCTTGAACCTCTGCAGACCGTGCCGGCACCTGGTATTGGAAGAAGTTGAAGCCAACCTTAACCACTGTCGGAAAATTACAAGAGGTGTTGAATCATGCTGCAAAAAATAACGGCATGTCACGATGGCATGCAGGGGTGAGCTGTGCACTTGCCTAGACTAACGGCATTCCTTTCAACCACACCGAGATAGCTGTCCGATGTCTGGTGAGTAACGGTGCCGCAAAAGGCCGGTGTCATTTTCACTGCTGCCAATTTCCGAACCCAACACATCTTCCAAGCTGGGCCCATTTGTTGTAAAACAAATCCCGTCAGTAAGTCTCCACCCTAGGAGACACTTGGTGGCAAGCAACGAATGCATTCGTCTTGTTCTCGACCAACATACGTGCCTTCTCCAAGTCCTCTTTGAGTTTATCTGGATTTCTTGCCAGGTTTGGATCACCGTACTCGCCCATGAAGACCTGGCATGATCTAGGGACAAGTACACGGTGCTGAGACACATGGGTATCAAAGACACCCCCGCGGTGCGGCCGAGCGACCTCACGACCGTATTCGCCAGTCATACTAAGTCTATAGGACAAAACCCCAAACCTGCCTTGATCCTCTTCTCCACAGGCGTGTGCGTGTTGAAAGGGAGCTTTGAGTACTTCTGTATGAACTGCTGGTCCAATGCATCAGCACCGACGAAACCTGCGCCGCCCCATGGGCTGACGTGGAATTCGGTGTTTCTGAAGCATGTTGGACATTGTTCTTCTAGTTGTGGCAAGCCTCTTCATTCCGTCCGAAGTTCAATAAGGGTAAATTTCTGTTGCTCGAGATGTTGCAGCTGGTATAGTTATAACATGGAACCATCTGTGTAGTCAAAGTCCGAAACAAGCAGTGAACTGCAGAGGCTGTGTCGACTGCTGCAGCAGACAATCTGTCAAATCGAAGGCTACAGATGCCACTATTCACACTGCGGTTCCTTTATTTCTCGTGAACCTTCATCCGCAAGACTCTGAAATTGCTGTAAATTTATGGATCCGGAAGTACGTGATCGTGACGTCCGTGACGAATGCAGGACCAAGAAATGCAATGGACGAGCACAGGACGTGAGCACCGGGGAATCGAAGACCGCGAGACTTGCCGAAGGACGAAAAAGGCCGGACAAGAAGAGCAAAGGACCAGCAAAGCGCGGGGGCTGTGGAGCGTCGACTTAGAAACTCATCGCCAACGGCAGAGCACAACCCGAGGCATAGCAGCTCGGAAGCCCTTACCACAAAGAAGCTCCGCCTTTCCCAGAAAGGGACGTGCAACGGGTATTGAACGAATAGCATGCTACTTAGATTCCGTGTATTATCCTTTTACGCGAAAGGACTATCGCTTACTTGTGGCAAGACAGCACCGGACCCCACATCCACATCGAACGAAGTGTGTTACAACACTATGATGGGTTCTTTCAGCCAGGGGGCCATTGAAAGAGTGTATCCAGCGATTCTGGAATGCTTGCTGCCAGCCCTCAGTCTGAAAGGAGTAGCCTCAGGAGAAGCCACGGTAAGAAGTTCTTTCCCATGACAAGAGTCGTGACATGCGGTCTGCAAGACATACCTAAGCCGGTCACCCACACTGCTTGGATCTTCCATGGCCTTGTGCAAATCCAATATCATGGGCAATCCTCCAGGCATGCCAGGGTTCGAAAAAACACCTCTTCGCATCAGGCCGACAATTCTTAGCCGAAGTCAGCTTGCAACTGCTGCACCATCCACCTGGATTAGATAACTATGGGAGACCTAGCAGACAAACCATTAGACACAGAGACGAAGGAGAGATCTCATGTTCGACGGGGTTGATACAAGAATAGGGCAACTGTGGTCCGTGTAAAGGAAGGAAGGATGAAGAGAAATAGCCTGGAGCCGGGGCATGGGTTACACGGCCACGCAGCACGGGAGTCGCTTAGTATACCCGTAGGCCCCTAGTATCACTCCAACAAATGCTCTCCTGGGCAGTCGTCTGCATGGAACGGCTTCCGATTGGTTGGGCACCTCATGCCCCCGTCCTGACGGACATCAAAGAGTCACGGTGTGGCCTATACCCGACCCACTGCCGCGATGGACATGTTGGCCAGTTGACACAATGACTTCCCATCATCTAGCTGCTAAAACTCCGCTCAAGGTGACAAGCATGCCGAGCAACACCACACTGACTCAGGCTCAGGTTTTCAAGACCAACTTCCTCAAAGATCTGGTCAGACTTCCGGCATCCGACTTTTCGTAAGTCTTTTTCTGAGTCATCCTCAGTCCTCCTGCTTCTTGCCGACTTGACCGAGGGAATCACACGTTGCACCACAAATTATGCAACATCCCAGGGACCTGCCGCGAGGGGCTTTCAAGTTCAGCTTATGCAGCAGATCTCCTTCAGGCTACTCTGCTTCCCCGACACTTCCTAATCCCTAGCCACGATTCGCTGCGTGCTAACAATGATGCGCTGAGAACGGGAGAGCACACGAAAGAAAAGGCCACGCGGTCAAGTTGGAGCATCAACTTGCCAGCTCTGTGGTTGTCGCTACCGAACGGATGTGTCAGCAGTACTCGTGGCTGAGTTGGCAATGACAGAGGCTGGCAGCTGTGGTAGTGGTAGCAGTAACGGCCGCAGTAGTACGTGGCCAGGAAATACAAGTAGCCCTCGTACTAGTAATGGTATTGATGGTAGCGGTAGCAGCAATCTCACTAGATGCAACAGTAGTCGCCGTCGTCGTAGGAACAGCACGGAACAGCAGAAGCAATAGCAGCAGCAGCAGCAGTGGCAGCGGCAGCGGCAGTGGCAGTGTAATGGTCGTAGAAGTCGTAGTAGCAGCAGTAGTAGAAGTCGCAATGGTAGAAGAAATAGCAGCAGCGGCAGCAGCAGTAGTACTTTAGTAGTAGTAGTAGTAGTAGTAGTAGTAGTAGTAGTAGTAGTAGTAGTAGTAGTAGTAGTAGTAGTAGTAGTAGTAGTAGTATAGTAGTATAGTAGTAGTAGTAGTAGTAGTAGTAGCAGTAGTAGTAGTAGTAGTAGAAGTAGTAGCAGCAGCAGCAGCAAGTAATAGTGGTCGTAGTCGTAGTCGTGGTACTAGTAGTAGTAGTAGTAGTAGTAGCAGCAGCAGCAGCAGCAGTAGAAGTAGTACCAGGAGTAGTAGTAGTACTAGTAGTAGTAGTAGTAGTAGTAGTAGTAGTAGTAGTAGTAGTAGCAGCAATAGTAGCAGCAATAGTGGTCGTAGCCGTAGTCGTGGTATTGGTAGTAGCAGTTGTAGTAGCAGTAGCTGTAGTAGTAGTAGTAGTAGTAGTAGTTGGAGTTGTAGTGGTAGTTGTTGCTGTTGTTGTGTTGTTGTTGGTGGTGGTGGATGTGGTGGTGGTAGTGGCAGTAGCAGTAGCAGAAGAACAAACAGTAGTACTGGTAGTAGTCATCATAGTTGTACTACTACTACTGCCATCTGCTCCTGCGCCTGCTCCTGGTACCTGCTGCCGCTGCTGCTACAACTACAACTACAACTACAACAACTCCTACTCCTACTCCTACTCCTACTCCTACTCCTACTCCTACTCCTACTCCTACTCCTACTCCTACTACTACTACTGCTACTACTACTACTACTACTACTTCTACTACTACTACTACTGCTACTACTACTACTACTACTACTTCTACGGGCCCCACCACGACGAAGACTTTTCTAGTATGCAGTACTCCTCCTGCTGCTGTTGGTGCGGCAAGCTTCTGGTCATTGTTGGCAGCATACTCACTCTGAGCTCAAAGCCAACTGGTCATTGGTACTTCGGGTCTGGGGTTTCGTTCGCCTCCAGCGAAGCGATTTTAATTGACGGCGTGCATATTGGGGAATCTGCGGTGTTTCTTCTAAGTTCTGAGTGTGAGCTTCTGAAAGTCTTCTCGCATTACATTACAGAAGTAATGATGACGCATGATGACGACGACTGAAACGATCGTGAGCATGGCGACCATAATGATGCTGGTTATGAAGATGAGACGCAGGCTGGTGATGGTCATGCAGAAAAATGCGGAACAAGAGTGCAAAGAGGCTGGTGATGGCGATGGTGTTCAACACGCTGCTGACGATGATGTGGCCAAAATGATCTTGCCTCTGGTGCTGCTGCAGATGACATTGCTGAAGGCAATTAATGGGTAGTCCCACTGCCTGGTCTCGCTTTTTGTCCCTCCAAGTCTCGCTTTGAGACTGGCGCTTGGGACTTTGTGGTCTTTAGGGGCGCTGGGCCATTGCGCAGGCAGACCCTGTTTATAGCGTGGGCTCAATAGTCGTGTCGGTGTTGCGGCCTGCAAACCCCTACAAACTTCGGCCTGCCTCAATTCCAGGATGTGATTGCACCTGGGGCATACCTGGTAGGAGAAAGCAGCGGTGAACTTGATGTTGTCCTTGCTGCAGGGCTCGTTCGACTGGGATGCACTACTTTCTGGCATGTGCCACCCATAGCCGAAAAAGTGCGCTGTAGCAAACAACCTGTACAGCGAGCATTAAATACACATAAGTCATCCACGGATAAGAATACTATATACGTATGTAGACATAATCTTCTCATCACAATCAGATGGACGTCCTGACTACTATACGCCCTTTGCAAACTTCGCGCACAGGGAATTACGATCACTACTTCGAAAGGCATTTCTGCCCCCCCCCCCGCCCCAAGGCATTATTGGGTATGATTGGAATGCCTTCCCCCACCCCCCCACCTAGGTCCCTGGATAAGGCACATGCCTGAATAGGTACATGTCTCAGTGCGCGCTCTCTTCCCTTCCAAACCTCCCCCTTCCCGCAAAGCAACCCCCGGTTTTCGGCCTGAGATGGGGGGTTGCTTCAAGGCATTTTCGGCACCAATCCCAACCGCCCTGCCCAGCGGGGACGCGGTACCGGCCCTGTGCTCCGACGGTCAGGTGCCAAACTAAAATCCCCGATGCAGGCTCTGAAGCCTTGAACAGTACACAGTGACTGATACGAATCGGGGATTTTATGCACGCAAAGTTTCACACAAGGCTCACCTGTCTCATGATAGTCGAAGCTCGCAGTTCCCTTTGGCATGAGAACATGCACCCCGGAGACCACGGATTCCTTAGACCAGCCCGAATGTGCTCTTAGCCTCCAAGCGAGCATCGGAAATAAAACAAGCTTTCCTGGGGCATCCGAAAGGGTGGGGGCGCAAGGCATTAGGGGGGGTCGCAAGGCATTTCTGGGGGTGAAAAGGCATTTTATTGCCTTTTCTCCACGAGTAGTGATGAATTACGTGCGGAGTGAACTGAAAACTCCGAGCAGCCTCATTCACCGGGTCTCCAACCGACAACCCCCAGCCCTTTACACTAGTACCCCCAATCCGCCTCGAAGGCTAGGGCTAAAACCTCCCCACTCGCTGGCAGAGGTGCTCTGTCTCTTAGCCTTGGGCCGGGACGCAATTGTCGTCCCGTCCCCCCTTTTTGGCCGGCTATGCCAAAAGCAAGAACCGTTGGTGTTTGCCCCTCGCTTCTCATGCCTTCGATGGAAACTGTAGTGGTATGCAGGTGTGTCAGGGAGGCTGCATACAAGTAGGACAACAGCACAACGGCAACAAACACTGGACTGTTCTCGTAGTCTCTCCCTCTCTCTCTCTCTCTCTCCCGGGCGTGAGGGCGGGTCAGCGCCCCCGGGCATCATGCCCACCTGTCGTCTTGACGGGACCGGAGGGTGAAGAAAGAACGTAGAGCATGGTGTAGGCTAAGGCTTGCTTGCACTCGGACAAGAGGGAGCAAGCCCCCCTCGCGCACGCGTGCGCACCGGATCCGCGGTCTGCAGTGTGACACAGTAGCCGGCTGAGGGCAGCGTTCTTCAAACCGTCAAATATGCCAGTCCGGGGCTAACCGGGTCCTTTCCATTATGGAACCGGGTCCTACGACTTATGTTGTTGATGTGACATGGAATGTAGCAAGACATGTGTGTTCTTGTGACTCAATGGAAGACATGCTGGACATGTGAAAACTTGTGCTCTTGCGGCTCAGTGGAAAAACAAAACCTGAAAACTTGGTCTCTTCCAAATGAAGATGCATACCTGAAAGACTGTGTTCTTGTGGGTCTATATGGAAGAAGCGAGATGCCGGACATGTACAAAAAGATGTGTGCTTGTGGCTCGATAGAAAAATCAATGCCTGAAACTTGGTTTGATCGAAATGTGAAAACATGTACATCGAAAAATCAAAGCCATACTGACATAATTGCCTGTCCCAAGTTTTGTAGTTCACATGGAATTTCTTTGTTGCAAAATATTTTTGAAGATCAAAATATTTTTTGAAGATTCGTTTGTGCCGAGCAAACCAAACATATGCAACTTGGTGTTCTTGTGGCTCAACGAAAACAAGAAGCTTGAGATTTTGTGTTCTGAAACCCTAAAGTCAGCTTTTTGTACCATTCACAACGACTTGAAAATTAGCGTGTGCGTTCATGATTAAACATCAAAGGGAAGCTGAACTTTCGTAACGTCCAGCCCATGCCCTAAACCCTGAACCCTAAACTCTAAACCCACCCAACCCCCAAACCCGCCCACCCATTCAAGCCCAGAAGCTGCAGGTAGGAAGGGGCACACAGGTAGGTAGAGAGGTATAGTTAGGTAGGCAAGTAGGTATGGATAAGTAGATTGGCAGGAGGGAAGGTACTTGTTGGTGTAGGTGGGTCGGCAGGCTTCCAGGTCGGTGGGTAGGTAGATAGATAGCTAGGTAGGCGGGCATGTAGGTAAGGAGGCATTGATCAGGAAAGAGGTTTAAAACCCCTAAACCCCTAACCCCTAAAACCTGAACCCTAAATCCAACACCCGAAACCTTCAACTAAGCCTCAACCCTAAAAGGTAGCAGGCAAAAGTAGTTGTAGGCATTCGTGCAGGCCCTGTCAGGATGTCAGGTGGCCACATCAAGGTCTTCGGAGCCCCGTACAGGGGCGTACCCGCGCCAAGGCCTGAATGGGCCGCGGGATGAACCCCGAATAGGGGTGAGCTTGGACCCCGAAGAGGGGTCGTCGGAGCCCCGTACAGGGGCGTACCCGCACCAAGGCCGAAAGGGCTGCGGGATGAACCCCGAAAAGGGGTGAGCCTGGACCCCGAACAGGGGTCGTGAGAACCCCGTGCAGGGGTGTGGATGAACCCCGAACAGGGGTGAGCTTGGACCCCGAACAGGGGTCGTTAGAGCCCCGCACAGGGGCGTACCGATGAACCCCGAAAAGGGGTGAGCCTGGACCCCGAACAGGGGTCGTGAGAACCCCATGCAGGGGTGTGGATGAACCGCGAACAGGGGTGAGGATGAACCCCGAGCAGGGGTGAGCCGGACCCTCAAAGACTGATGCAGAGAGAGAGAGGGAGAGAGAGAGACACAGCGAAAAAAATTAACGAAGCAAGGAAGGAAGCAAGGAAGGAAGGAAGCAGGGAAGGAAGAAGGAATGATCAAGATGAGGGTGTGACTGTAGATGCGAGGAATGAGCAGGCAGCAAGGAGTGATGTGAGGGAGGCGGGAAGGGAAGGAAGAGAAGGAAAGTCATGCATGGCATCAGTATCCCTCTGCTCACTTTCAGTCTGTCGGCGGCCAGGCTGAGACAGTCTGCGCATCGAGATCCTCGAAGAGCCCCGGCCTAAGCCACACGGCCTTCCAAGACTTGACGGCTGCACCATGGGTTGCTTCCAAGCTCAACATGTTGAACTGCAGCAGCTTTTCAGCTCAAGATTCAACGCGATCGAACCGTTTTTGTCTGAGCGAGTGTACTCCGACTGAGGCGATTGTCCTCATGCAAACAAGGCAGTATTATTGACATGCGCATACACGCAGATCGTCAAAGACACGACTAGGAAAGAAGTGCCCCAGTTCGACGTACTGCCACGGAAGTGCAGCAATGGATCGAACGGATTTTGGCAGGCTTCATGGACCTGAAGGAAGTGACGATGACGATCGAACGACTCCTTATCATTCGGATGATAGCGATGGTTCCGCGGCCGATGCCACTACGGAAATGGAAAGAAACATGTTTACGAGAGAAGAATTCCAGCGAATCTGCACCGACCTGGTGCTGGGATGTGTCATGATGAACTTGTCAATGGGATGGCAAATGGAGCGGGCTTTTTTGAGCGATCGGCAACTACGAAGTTTGCTACAGCACTTCCAAACCAAGCACAACAGACGCGGATCCTCTGCAGGTGATATTGTGGAAGCAGGTGTACAGGAACGGATTCCAACAATGCAGAAAGTACTCATGGTTCGACAATGCGACGTACTCCAAGGAAAGTTGCGAATGGAAGTGAACCCGGTAGATGCAGAGAGATTGCGGGGCTTGGTTGAGCAGCCTCCCGGCTGGGATTGGGATTTGCCTGATCGAGGAACCATGGAAAGGCTTTGCGAGGGCATTCTGGCCAACTCGTTTGAGTTTGAACGGATTCCAGTGACGGATGCTAGACGGATGGCAGTTCAATACTGCGAGGTCATCCGTCCACTGTTCGCTGTGAGATTCCTGTCAATGGTGTTGCTGGGCATGCGGGACACGTACAGAGATCAGCTTTGGTTTCTGCTTCGCAGGCATGGAAGAGTCCTCAACGTATAGACGGACTGTACGTATACGCAGTCTCCGAAAAACTTAAAGGGACTGATGTACGGATACACAGTCTCACAATAAACCAGCAATGGCGAGAAAAAACGTGTCACTTGCTTAACAAATTGCTTGACGCGCCTTACTAAATTGCTGGACCTAAACCCTGAACTCGTCGACCTGAGGTCAAGCCTTCTTCATGCCAAATTCGCTGGCAAGATCGACATTGTGTTTGGAGGCTCGTCCGGCTGCTCATGTTTGCCTAAACCCTAAACCCTAAACATCCGGCCGGTACCACTCCAAGATTGCGCGCCCGGCACGCGTACGCCTGTGCGCCCGGAGCGCGTTCGCCTCAACTCCCGGCGCGCAGACCTGTGCACGTTGCAAACAGACTAAAGAATTGTATTATCACGTCCGGCACGCCCGGCGTGAACCTGCTGCGCGCCCGGCGCGCGCCCGCTGCACACCCGGCGCGCGCACCCTGGGTATATTTGGTTTTGGGTGGTAATAAACGACCGCCACATGTCATTCCTGCGCGCCCGTCGCAACCCGCTGCGCGCACATGTGTAAATTCTGTTGCAAGCATAATATTATGGAATAGTGTAAATATAGTATAGTACACGCTTACACTTCGCGCGTACGCCTGTACGTGCGGCACGCGCCCGCCCGCGCGCCCAGCGCGCGCGCCCGGCGCGCGCGCCCGGCGCCCGGCACCGTTGCAAGCAGAATATTATGGAATAGTGCAAATATACTACACGCGTACACTTGCTACGTATACACCTGTGTGCCCGGCGCGCGCCGGGCGCGTGCCGGGCGCGCGCTCGGCGCGCCGCCGGCGCGCGAGCCGGCCCGCCCCCGCGCGCGCCCCCGATCACGCCTG